GGACCCCCCTCTAAACAGGAAACAGGAAACAGGAACGTGTTTATCAATATTGTAGGTCAAATATTTAGGAATTGTCTTCAGAACTATTTAGGAAACATTTTTACACCCATTTTAAGAGGGGTTGGATGGCTGAATGGTTAGCGTGTGGGCGTTGTATCATAAAGTCTGTCGTTGAGTCAACTGGCGTGGTTTCAAATCCCCGGTTGTACGTGTCAAGGTGTAGAGTCGCCTGTCCAACCTCGTGGGTTTTCTCCGGGTCCTCCGGTTTCCTCCCACTGCTAAAGGCCCCTACGCGCAAGCGAATTATTGAAATAAAATTAAACCATATGTTGGTCCCGAAATGACCTAGTTTGTGTCGAGTGGACGTTAAACCCCATTTCTCTCTCTCTCTTTCTCTCTCTCTCTCTACACCCATTTTAAAAAGTCGTTATTTGGTCACGTACTTGCGTAAAAAGTGGTAAAAGCAGCTAGCCTACCAAAAAAGAAAACAAAATTGTCTATACTATTACTGCCTAGTTACGAATATATTTGGATACCTAAAAATGGTTTCAATCATAGGCGTAGGAGCTCAAAGTAATTCAGGGGGGCATAAGAGAAAATTGCCCGAAATCAATACCGTTTTTTCGGGCATACCTATCATAAGAGAGCTTCGGGCATATTTTCGGGCATGCAGTGGACAAGAAGAAGACGAGAAAATACTTTTCGGGCAATGTGGATCTCATAGAAATAAGTTAGTTATATTTTTTTTCTAAACGTTAATAGAAAAAAAAGGTCGTCGAATTTTTCATTGCCCGGCTCCTACGCCTATGGTTTCAATTAATTTATGATTGATGTTCTACTGTTTCATGTATTTTAGAAATGTGTTTTCATAAAAGATGACGTTTGAAAGTGGTGTGATAGTCATGTGCGTGCAGAATTTCTTGAAGATATTTGTCACTAAAGATTTGAGTTGAAGAAGATAATTCAGCACAAAAATGGAAGAAAGTACACTGTAATATTTATACGCAGTAATTCGCCTTGATAATTTAGATGGAGTTTATTGTCCATTCGACCACACTTTTCGACCAATCAGAATCGAGGAAATTTCTAAAGTGTGCTACAATAGGCCAATTCAATAAGTAGGCCTACATTTCTCATAATGTCGGTATATTTCAAATTTCATCAAAATCTATTACACAGCTAAAAATTATTGCATTTAAAATGCATTCAACCAATCAGATTGCAGCCAATTGAATATGTGTCCATGGTGTTGATATTATAAAGTAACCGAGTGACTTTTGCAATGAACATATACGCGTTTTTGTTTTACGGTTCTTCAAATCGAAATTGGAGTAGGCCAGATAAAAACAATACCGATCTTCGAGGAACTGGGCTAATGAAGACGGGCATACGTCATACAGTGTGCTATGAGGGAAATTATGCCCGGGCAGCGGCACTACTCTTATATCGAATTCTATGACCGCGGCACTACGGCCTACTCTTATATCGAATTCCAACTGTCAAGGAATTGTCAAGGGATCTATTACGTGCCCTCCGTCCTGCATCACTGACGGGGGAACCACGCCGGAAAATCTGGATGAAGTTTCTCATCGAATGCAGGGATCGAACGTCCTACCTCTAGGCTGGCGAGCGAGCGTCGTACCCACTTAGCCACCGTGACCCCCTCAAAGTCAATGGAGGATCAGGCAATCTGGATATATCAGAGTTAGACAATATTGGTTGATTGATAAACATTCCTTGGTAATATATACCACAGATGTATTCTTACCTTTACCGTGTAAAGTATATTTACATATAAAAGAATACTTGTTATTACAATTTTCTTCACGCCAATAACCATCTTTTGATGAAATCATGATGTAACAACGACGGTTACCTTTGACAGCAATGGTATCTGATAAATCTGTTAAAATATTATATTAATCTGTTAAAACAAAACGACATGAGCAAAATCAGAGGATCTGGTCAGAAAGAAAAAAACTGGAAAGTTTATATTTTAAAAATCCAACCCAATATATCACATCACGTTGCCAGAAAAGGCAAATTATTGCCACCTTTTTACATATTGTTATATACAGAAACCGTACATCTCTTTTTCCCTCTATTGCCTGACTTATATAAATAGGTTTCGAAACAAATTCAACACAAGTTTCGGCGATTGTAATATTGATGCGGTGATGTGTCCACTCGCGTGGGGTGGGTTCACTGGCTTATATATTGTAGAATATGAACAGAATATGTTTATCTCCCATATTACTAATCATAAACCATCATAACTGACACCCATCACCAAAATGGTTAAGCTTTGAAAAGTAAAATTACCGTTAATCCTATAATCCACTTGAGGAGTATTTCCATTAGACCATACCAGTTTATGTTTCTACAATGATACATACATATTATTACATTAGAAAATGTAGACGGGACGCCTACTATAATGCAGCAAGGTCAAAAATTTAAAATTCAATAGGATTCTATATTTTACAAAAAAAAAAAAAAAAAAAAAAAATGCCAATGAGAATACAATTATGCATTTATGGTCACAAGTTTTTATGAATCTGAGTGCAAAGAGGCAATAATTTCATGATTTGTGATCTAAAGGGTTTTTTCTTAGGACCCAACAAGCAGTCTTGATTTGGAAAAAAAAACTTTATAAGAAACCGCTATTAAGTTACATATGAGTCAATTTTCCCCTTTCGGGTCGATGCTAAGATGCAAACATTTCTATTAATTGTGTTTCTAATCTAGAACATACTCTAAATCGCGTGTAGGACTACCCCGCCCCCATCTGGACAATGACTCCCCACTGGAAATTTAAACTAGAATAATCTTTCGAATGAAAATTGTTATCGATTAGCGCTTGCCCCATTTCTAATCGAAATAACGTTTCTTAGATCAACCCAAATCCAAAATTTAATTTTGACCTATTTAAATCACTTTCCCGTGAGAGTGTACATTATAGTCGACACTTCTGAGAATTTAAATATTAAACAATTTTAGTTTAACTCCGTACATGTGGCTTACCTTACGTGTTAGACCAATCCAGTAGGATGTCATATTAAAGATACGTCGGTTAATATATTTCTGCTCTTTATCACTGAGAATATCTACCAGAACTCCACCAATTACAGCATGGTAACAGTGACAAACAGCTTCCTCTTGTGATTTTGGATGTTGCAGTATTTTATAACATTTGTCATCATAGTGACCCCAACCAGCTTCACATTTTACACTCGAAACTTAAATTTATAATAATTGACGATGTATATAATCTTGATGATTTTCCGTAATACGGATTTTTATGTGTAGCTGGAAACAAGGTCTTACTTGGTATCCATTAGTTGACATTAAATATAGGTATCATGACAAAGGAAATATTACTCTGGTTGCAGGGCCGTATGTAGGATTTTAAAAGTGGGGGTACAGCAGAGTAGTGGGGCGCCATAGCCTCCACGTATGTGATATAAGAAAGTTTCGATCAGGGCAAACGAACCCATTGGCGTGTGGGCGCCCTTAAAACCGATCGACTGATCAGTGCCTTAAAAGCATCGCTGTGTGATCATAATCAAGTGTATTATTTTATAATTGAAAGATTTCAAATAATTTTTGTTTTTTTGGATGGGTTAGGGGGCGCAATTTCTCGGGTCGCCTTATTTTTCTGGGGGTGCAATGTACCCCCTGCACCCCCGCTAAATACGGCCCTGTCTGGTTGTCTCCGCCGATCGGGAGCTTGAACATTTACGACAAAATTTAATTTCTTAATGATGGAAGGCAATTATTTACTGATTTCACGCATGGGTCCACCCTCACTCCCCAATAAAAAAAACGAAACTGATATAGACAGACATACCTTCAGTGGTGACTGCACCTAACATCCCCAGAATCACCATTGCCATTAACCGTCGTTTCATTATCCACTTTAAATCTAATAAACACTTATAACTTTAAAGACTTTATAACCTGGGACTGCAACAATTTGCAATATTAAATCTGGGCACAGTCGAAATCTAACTACCTTCATAACCTAGTTATATAGTGAATGCAAGACGGGTAATCTTAATTTATCACCAAAAGAGACCTCATGTTTGGTATAAAATCAGGCTATCCAATAATAGATGGGAATGAAGTTGATGATTTAATTATATTGATAATGTAACATAGAAACGGTTAATGGAATGTTATCTGAGATATTTATCTAAGCAACATAACTAATAATTATCAGTTGTAATTAAATAGATACAAGATGTCCATTAATTATTCTATTTTTATAATATGAAAAGAGGCTCCAGTGCTAAAATTCGCATGCTATTACACGAACCTTTTTGCCTTTGGATTCGATTGTCCGTTAGGGATAAAAAAAAATACTGCATTTCTTTAATATCCCGGTGTCACGGATCGAATCAGCCATTCAACTTGTCTCAACTGTTTGCTGTCAGTAATCTTTGATTAGAATGTTGCTTTTCTTATGTCTTTTTTGTATATCTTTATTAGGACTTTCCTTGAAAAATAGTCGTAGCTATGGTCGTTTAAAAAATGGTTAGCAAATTAGCTCCCCGGTAAAATGCGGGATTTGAACTAGGTCTTGGAAAACTGTATCTTAGAATGGATCAGAAAATATGAAAATTGGTTTATGGACATTGAATATGGCTAGTGCCCATATAGTGGTTTGTTTTGGGGTTTGGGGTGGGGTCTCACCGATTACTCCATCTGAATATGATAAACCTTTTGAAATGCAGACTTGCCTCTATTTGGTAACATACCGTTTTAAGCCATTTCTATGTAAATTATGATGTGAGTATGCCCTGGCCGATGTAGCTAACTTACAAACTAACACAAGCTAACCAGAGTCTGGACAAATCTTTGGAGCAGAAGTCTATTGGCATACCTTTCAATACATTATGTCCTAATTTTAAATTTAATCAATACTAATTAACTGTTAATAGAATATCACTTGGCATATAACACAGAATCATAAAACAAAACAAAAACAGTGAAAATAATAATCTTTACTTGTTTTATTACTTCTGACATTTTAAAGTCTTATGTAATGTGTACCTGAATAAAGATAACCATAGCAGTTTTATAATAAATAGATAATACATACATACATATATATTCAGTTGTAAATATGTTACTATTAAATTTTCTATAACAACCTGTGTATATAATAAAAATATTTTGTAAATAAACATATTCAGTCTTTTAGAAATAAGACCATCCATCACAACCTCTTGATACTGGGACAATATTCAATGTGTTCATATTAAACTAAAGTGTTTGTTAGTGTTTCTGCTTCTTCAATCTACCGGTAATTACATAGAGACACTTGTTAACTTAAATAATGTTTGTGATCATCTCCAAAAATGATAAAAGACTACCACAGAAATTATTTATATAATTGTCATGTTGTTAGTTAACAAAAACATTTTTTCCACATATAATATATGTGACCAGCTTCGGATAAATGAGAAACATTTTGAGATACGGCACAAAACAAATATATTTCCCTAATTCTCAAAGTTGTAAACCTATCGGAACAGCACAAAACTTTGTTGTTTGTGATTGAAATATGGTCTTTAGTTGTTCCAGTAATTTTTAATTGCTTTTTTCTGGAAATAAATATTATGGTGTACATTAAACTTTAAAACAAATTATTCAGTCAATTTAAAGTTGAATTTGTACAAAGCTTTGTTTCGATTTTTTGCCAATTGCCTCACTTAGCAAGAGTCAAGTATATATGCATTACTTTGTACTGGTACTAGTAAGTTTTACTCTAAAAATTGTATTGGGTCTGAGGGGTTCTTCTCCCCATATTAAATAGTATGTATTTCTTAATAATTCGAATTAAAACTAGAAAAAAAATTCATTTCTATGTAGTCCGATGCAATTTAAGAATAAAAATGTAGGAACATAAAATAAACTGTTACAGAGATGTAAAGTTCATCATATATGTAACATATAAAAATGACTGAAAACTAAAATATCTCAGTTGAGCAAGTGATGACAAAATGAATATTTTAAAAAAGCTTTTTAAAAAAATATCTATGGACAGGAATGTGGACAACCATAAAACAAAAGTAAACAAACTTCAAACAATAAATGGATAGAACGCAACAATACAATTTATTCCTGAGGTGGGTATCATGAGTTCAAAAATCTATATAAATAAATAATATATATACTATAAATAACTGCATTTATAAAGGAAAAATATTTAGTTAAAAGCTAAAAACTATTTATTATAATGGTTGGAGATTATTCACAAACTTATATTATTCTTTTTAAAAAAAAACATAGAAAAATGTCTACAAAGAGGTATATGGACGGTTATCAGCATAAAGGAGAAAAACACAAAGTAAATAAAATAATAATGGCTGGCAAATAAGAATATCACAATTAAATAAATAACTATGATCTAAAGGTGTAAGTATATATACAACTTTAACTTATATGATTATCACAGATAAAATAGCATTAATTGATAAACAGAACCAAGTCTAGTAATAGAAAATGCAGTCATGTGATTCACGATATATCAACAGAAAATAACCCATAAAAGTCCTAGTATTTTACACATGTGATGATATCTACAGAAATAAAACAGTCATATAAATAAATTATATATAATACATAATAAAACATGTAGTATATATATAAACATATCACTGGTATATAAATATATGTTCAGCAGCAGATTGGTCAATATGGACAAATAGATATTAAAATATAATTCCATTTTTAACATGGAATGTTATCACATAATATTCTAGACCGTATACTATATCAACAGTTTGATCTGTCACAAAAATTGTGACCAATGTTATTTGTTCTTTTCCTGATTTAATAGTAATGGCTGTGGACGGACAAAAATAAATTCACTTTTAACTAATGTAAGTTTATATCACATACTCATCATAATAAACCATGGATTATTTTTGGTTAGTTTTCTGTAACATAAATTTCATGGCCTGGAATGTTTCTTGATTGGACCGAACCATTTGCTCCATTCGGTCTTCCACATCCATTAGCTTCTCTTCATATTCTCTGTCCCTGCGTTTCTGTTTGGCTAACTTGAGTCCCTTTTTCCGTCGACTACTAATATTGTCTTCATCTGAGGAATCACTCAAGAATTCTAAAAAGCTGGCTCGTGATTTGATATTTGGTGAAATTTTTCGACCCATTTTATCTCTAGGAATGTCATCTTCTGAATCAGTGTCATTGGATTTAGAAAACATACTATTATTACGGACAGGTGAAAACGAAATCTTCGGACTTAGAGAATTCATATTCCTAATTGGAGAATCTGGTGCCAAATTCATAGGCAGTACTTCTTTATCCATATTTTTGTTGGTTAACAACTTTCGGTCCATATCCTCATCGAAAATATTTTCCTGAATATCGTCCTCTTCTTTTTTCTTTTTATCTTTCTTCTTTTTCTTCTTTTTATGTTTTTTCTTCACCTCTTCCATAGCAACATCCTGGAAAACAAACACAGAAACTTTAATTCCTTTATTTTTCATTCTTCATATAAAATTCATGTACATGCTATATATATGAAACAATATGACATATAATCTTCTTTCCCTGGGTCACAGGCTCAAAAGGACTACACACAGACAGTAGAAGGTCAAATCCATTTAATTACATTCAGTTTTATTCAGTTATATTCCTACCGAACAAATGATCATCTGTGAAAACTTGGGCTGTTTATATTAATTAGTTGACGCAAATCCAAGCACGGAAATGAAATGGGGGTTTAACATCCTATTGTTCTGCTCCGAACTGGGCTAATGAAGATGGGCATACGCCATGCAGTGTGCTATGAGGGAAATTTTGCCCGAACACCAGCACTACGGCCTACTCTTATATCAAATTCCATCTTTTACGTGCACACCAATATGTACACGGGACCTCGGTTTTTCGACCCATCCGAATGACTAGACAGCTGTCCTTGTCAAGCCTTCCGTCCTGCATCACTGACAAGGGGGAACCACGCCAGCAAATCTGGATGAACATTCGCGGCCAATGCAGGGATCGAACACCCGTCCTCCAGGTTAGCGAGCCAGCGTCTTACCCACTTAGCCACCATGACCCACTCCAAGCACGGACCTACTTAAAGTAAGACATTATTTTGAATTGTTTCTTAAATTCATTGAAAACCACTAAAAAGTTTGTACAACTTAATTCATTCAAAACCAATAAAAAAAGTTTGTACAACTAACTAGTGTAAATTGAAAGTTAAAACATGTATCTTGGTGGTGGACTTTCAGATTTGTTTTAAAATTTAGATACAATCTAATTTGAACATGTCCAATGTAATTACATAATAAAATATAATTATAATTCTTCTTTTTGTACAAACTGGTGAAGACCTTCAAAACATTAATGCCATTTTGATAAATAAATACTTCCCTGGGCTACTCATATATTATACTAGAGACTACCGACTTAAACCCTTCAAGACCTCTATAAATTGATGTTTAATCTAGCCGATTGGTAAAAAAATGAATCAGCCACTATGGCATCATAAATCAATCTCCTTTCGGCTATTTACAACTGGTTAATTATTACTTGTTAATTATGAAGTCAATCAACTTGCTTGTCGGCTACATCAACAGTCATACCTTACTGAGAATTGGCCATGTGGTTCACAATTCGAATAATTAGCACATTTAACGGTAATTTTGATAATCTGGTGAAAGACAAAACAAGCTTGCTGATTATTCATAACAGGTTCAGTAAGCTGCCTTTGTAAAAATAAGCCACATGGTGAAAGAAGACAATCTCGGCATGGTTTGTAAATCATGTGTCTTCGACGCCCCATATGAATTCCAGATACCGGTAGATATTAAAATAATAACTGGATCATACATTGATGGTTTCACTGACCAGTTGATACATAAATTTAAATCATCATTGAATATAATCCCCTGATAGAACATTGAATACACTGAGAAACAGTCATTAATGATATATTTTCCCGACAGAATCTCCAATGCCGAATTCCAATGCCATGTGACATATCGGTTGGAATTAGATCAATAAACCAGTTTTAAATAGCGTTTTCGTGATGATTTTCTATTTTATATACATGCTGACAGGGGCTTAAGTTTTAAAATATTGTGGTCATTATTGAAGGCTATATGGCATAGTCGTACGGAACTTTATTTTAAAGCAATTTCATTTATGGTTGTCACGTGATCATTGTGCCGTTTGTCTATCATCGATCAATGAATAAAAACTTTTACAAGTTACGTGATAAGACAAAAAACTACAGATTGTGTTATGAAGAAATGCCATGGTGCCATATCAGATTATTTTAGCTATGGTATTTTCTGATACTGGCAATAGTTGAAAAATGCTACTATAATATTTTAGATCGACTGATGAAACACAAACGTTTCATCGAATAAACGAAGAATATTACTGACATGAACTCCAAGCCGGTACGTGAATTAAATATGGAACATTTTCAAAAGGATCTATTTGTCGTTATTTATGTGGTAATTACATACATTAGAATATGACAATTCCCATATTAAATTACCAAGAATTATTTTTGTTGAAGTCTGGTTATATTAAATCGAATGAAAGCTTATACCGGTAACTAACCCATTTCCTACCTGGACCTCATTTGACTCAATTCTGGTCAGTTCTTTTCAAAATGAATTAAGAACCCTGGTCCTAACCACGAACATACCTCAAATCTCTGTGATTTCAGTTCATCAGTTTTTGAATCCTCTGCTACTAGATCATCTATCATCTTGTCTCGTTTATCCATTTCTAAAACTTTCTCTACATCTGGCCATTTAACTTTATCATCCATGACAACAGCATCTTGTGTTTCTAACGCTGGAAAATCATCATCTGATTCATCATCTGCTACTATTTCATCTTCTATCAGTTTTGTCAGATCATCAACTCTGAAATTAGAACAATCCTGATAAGCAAACCTAGAAATTGGCTCAATTTGGTGGGGGGGGGGGGAGATTCCAATAATCTTTAGATTTTCTTTCAAATATGCTCATGACATTTTTGTGTTATTTTGCATATAAAAATGATAATAACACTTGTAATATTTTGTGCAATGTGACTGTCAGATTCTTACATTATTAAGCTTGATGTGATTCCGATTTGAAGATTTTAATTTATTTCTTAGCCTTGGTAAAAAAAGGAGCATACAATATTCTCATATTCCTTCTTATTAATTAAATATAATAAACTATTGTATTTGTTTACATAAATATGTCAATAGTTTTTATTTGCATGGTGAATACAGAAAGCATAAATCAAATTGATTAGGTTTACCTCTTTTGTAGTGTACTTAATTTAGTATCCATGCTATTCATTTCACCATCTTTTCTACGTCTCAAAAAGTTGGCCATCATTTCCTTTTCAAATAGTTGTAGATAAACATGATGATGAGCTTGATACTGTATTCCTTAATGTTAAAGGATAAAACTAAACTTTAACAACAACGAGAATATTTGAAACAAATGATATGTACCCTTTCATTCAAACCTTTTACCATTCTATCTTTTTAAAGGACTATATATATAATCAAGGTAACATTTAGTTGGGTTTTTTGGATATATTTATTTTTATGATTGTCATAATATCTAACTCAATATTATCCTCAATCTTCGACATTAAAAACACAAATTAGAATTTAATATTGGTCTAATTCAATCAATGTTGATTTCTTACCATTGTGAGCTACATTGTTCTGACTATGGTCTTGAGCGCCATTTATAATCAGGTGCCTTGATGAATGAGGCAAAACGTATTCTACAAGTCAGTGAGGAAGTGAAATGTCATAAAGTACTCCATACTCCCGACAGGACTAACTGATTTAGTTCCTTTAATTAAGCATTTTTGTTATACGACATGCTTGTTATTTTTTGACGAATTAAATTCTGAGGATTCATTTCTATTTACCTTCAAATTGTTTAACACAGCAAGTCTTTCTCAGTATCCACTTAACTAACAGTCCCATATGAACTATAATATTAAACGGTGGAAACAAACCAGTCTTTACATCATATTCTGATACCAAAAAATACATTTGGTATTTCCAAATTTCTAAAGATTTCTGTTCAACAGTATCAAAAACATGACTGAAATGAAAAAATATATATACAGAATATATATTTAAATTCATTATTTAGGTGCTTTATACATTTTCAAATATTAATTTTAAAATGTTTCTAAACAGATCCATTATTTTGAGAATAAGATAATTTTGGATCTCGGTTACAGAAAGCAAATTTCATATGGTATATTCTGGTCACGTTTTTATCTTCTGCTAAGTTTTGTTGAGAACTAAACAATTGGTCCAAGAAAAAAATAGGTAATTTAAATATTCATATTAGGAAAATAACATAGAAAACATAAACTGACTTGCCTGAATATAGCAATAAGGAGATTCAAAAGTAGAACATTTCCTACTAGTAAATAACCAGCTAGTAATATAGGTACTAGAGAATTATATGTTCGACATGTATTATTAGATGGTAATAGTGATGTAGCATTAGATAGAGCTGCTGTACATGCCTCATCAGCTGAAATTGGAATTGAGGATTAGTATTAATTTTCTACGATCTATCTTAAAAGAAATATGAGACATTTTTGTGAAACGCCAATCAATATGGGTTTACACAAGATGTCTACTGATGTATAAATGAAAAGTCGTATCAACAATATATGGTTGGATATTTTGGGACTAACATACATGTATGTTTATCTTTTAAACTATAGTCATATATTCAGTGATGGAAAAATCCACAACTCTTTTTTGAGTTCAAACTGTCATAAGTGCTCTGATGTGAGTGTACTGGTGAACCAGAATGACTAAATAAGACTTTTATGTCAACCTTGCTGGTACTACCTATTATAAGAGGAAACCAGACTTAAATTCTTGAGTTTTTAAGCTTTAATTCAAGGTCCCTGAAGATAAAATATATGAGAGTGAACATATTGTTGTATAGAAGTTTGATCAAATGTGGCCAATCACATTTGCTACGCATAAAATTCATTCTCATTTTGATTTCAATCCTAATCCTTTATTTAAGAATAGCAACTGAAATTGCATCTCTCCATATTTCAACCCTGTATATAAAGGTATTGCATTTTGTTTTAAACTGAAAATTTGAATCTTACTTTGTATTTCTTCCAGGAATAATTCTCCATACAACTGCCAGTAAGGGTAGTAGACAATATCAACAAGATTAAAATTACTAGAATGTCGTGCTTTAAATAGTAAACCCTGACTTGCCACACCATACGCTAACAGGAACACAAATAATACGAAACAAAACATCACTAACTCTTCAAACTGAAATATATAGAGAATTGTCGAATAAAGTGTCACATATACCTTTTGTTCAATAATATCAAAAATAGGTTAGGATAGGCGCTGTTGACAAACTCAAGGGATCATGAACAAGACATGTATGCATACTGGCTACAAGTTCTGGAACAGCTGATACCAGTTGTTCACAGCACATCTGTGAGAGGGGATATCCTCTAGCACATTCATACAACTGACCATTTTGTTTTCAGTCTATTTGGTTTAATATTTGCATATATCTTTTTTTGTCATTGAAAAGGCCTTTGACACTTTCAATTGTATGTGTTATTCTGTTAGGTAAGCCATCTTGTCAAAAAATAAATACTAGAAAGGTCTGTAACCTAGTTATAGTGCAGAAAAGAGCTTCAAAGAGGAAGAAACCTGTAGAATGAATACTTACCATTTTTAAGATCATGAAGAGTTTGGGGCCTAAAGATCTGTTAGCTATATACACTCTTAATATACGAATATAGAAGACCACTACATTAATACAGTAGATTGTTTTAGCAGCTGTATAATAAGCTGGATCCCAATGTAAAATAAAAGCTATTATAGATAATATAAGATTGACTAAATCCATCCGATTTAAAAATCCATACCAATCTCGGACTTTACCATAAATAGTTGGTGATGGATAAGCCAAAAACTGAAAAAAAATGTACCGGGTATTAAAAAACATGAATTTATTCTAGGCCTATCTTCTTTAAAGCAGCTGGTCATTTGAGGGATTTTGAACCCCTTTCAAACCTCAATATTAGAGAGGTTTCGCAACTTTACATTTACAATTACTTTTACAATCAGACAGTAAAACATGATCAGTTTTTGTGATGTATGACGTGAAGTACACATCAAAAAAAGTGTGGCAAATGGATAGCAGCACCTATAACTGTAAGTTCACAACACTTCTTGTTTAATTTCTATAATCCAGTCCATAATTTTTCCCTGAATTGTGGTTTTTTCTGAGCTAAATCCATAGCAAAGACGTCCTACATGTAGATACAATAAGAAGAGGCCGAGACAAAACATGTGCCTGCTTTGGTAATCTCATCTTCAAGGATCTATCCGCGATATAGGCCTAACGAGATAGTGAATCTGGTTTCTGTTGCCACCTACTAAGTGTAACCGTAAGTGTGAATTTATCGAAACGTCATAATGTACAGTTACACTCTCACACTTATCTCAATGTAATCTAGGTGTAACTGTTAAGCTGCAAAACCTTTCTATTGAGACAGTTGAACCTTGCAAAGGATCATCAGTCTAATTAATGGTTAAATTACATTCAATATTTACAAAGATTTACAACTCAAGCCAGCACCACCTACAAGTATAGAGCAAAATACAGTGCTACATATAAACGATCTAATCTAAGTAAGGATGAAATTATATCCAATCACAAATCTGTACTCACTTCATTTGGTACTCCGTGTGGAGATACCTATACAGATTTGCCCTTGTTATATTGGATACCTAAACTACATAAAAATCCCTACAAGCAACGTTTTATAGCAGGTTCATCCCGTTGTTCCACAAAACCACTTTTGACATCTATACTAACGGCTGTTAAAGAGGGTATTCAAAAATACTGTGACAAAATATACTCTCATAGTGGTATAAATCAAATGTGGATATTGAAAAATTCCAAAGAATTACTTGATGGTTTGCAATCTAGATCCCTTACTTCAGTCTCATCTATTCAAACGTTTGACTTTTCTACTTTGTACACTAAAATTCCCCATAGTAAATTAAAAGCCCGGTTGAAAGACATTATTCACAGTGTCTTTTCGTCTAAATCAGGTACTGCTAGATATCAATATTTAGTTGTAAATTACAATTCCACATATTTCGTTAAGAATCACAGTGATTCCAAAAACAAATTCACGGCCATCAAGATAATTCAGATGTTGGATTTTTTAATTGATAACATCTTTGTTGAATTTGGAGGGGAAATATATCAGCAAGTGGTTGGCATCCCCATGGGCACCAACTGTGCACCTTTGCTTGCTGATCTGTTTCTCTATTCGTACGAAGCCGATTACATAATATACAGACGCTCGTAAAAACTAATAAACGATCAGTCAGACTTTTTAATTTCACTTATCGATATATCGATGACGTTTTATCACTTAATAATCCTAAATTTAGTGATTATGTAGAATTCATATATCCTGATGAGCTCGAAATTAAAAACACCACTGAAAGTGACAATTACACTTCCTACTTGGATCTGCGTCTCGATTTTGACAATTGCCATAAACTGAGAGTTAAATTGTACGATAAACGTGATGACATCGACTTTCCGATTGTTAACTTTCCATTTATTAGTAGTAACATTCCAATATCACCAGATTATGGAGTGCTTGTGTCTCAGCTAATTCGTTACGCGAGAGCTTGTTCCTTTTATTCTGATTTTTTAAGTAGATCGAGGCATTTGTCATCTAAGCTTCAACTACAAGGATACTTGCGCACTAAACTTATTAAAACCTTTAAAAAGTTTTATGGCCGTCATATTGATTTGATTGGTAAATATAACGTGTCTCTCTCGGCTATTATTCTAGATATATTTAATTGACACGTATACTATTACTATCTCCCTGATAATGTCTACTACATCGTTAACACAGTTCATCGCATGCATTTTGCATACCGATAGTTCATTGGCCAATCACGCTATTTTACCGACATTTCGCCTAATAGTTTGGATGCAGCTATGGCGGGTGTGGCGCCAGGCAGGGTAAGCTTACTCTTCCAGACACCTGTTACCACTGTTTGTCGTGTATTTTTTACACGAGGAGCAGTCCATTTGCTGATTACACTATTTTGCTTGAATACACTATTTTGCCTATAACGTTTTTTAGGACTTCGAATTCTGTCTTATGGTTTGGATTGTTCGTACTTGGTTTTATCTTATTTAATCCAATATCCAAGCCAGGAGATTATGTATCTTTAATATTATGTTTTTGTTTACTTAATTTTAAATAATCAGTTTAAGTACATTTTTTAAAAGGAATTAAACTGTGAAAAATTAGACATTGTCTGAAAAATGCATACATGAATGAAAATATATTTGTATATTCTCAATTAAAATGAATTCTGTAAATAAATTTTAAGAAACTTGCAACTCTGATATTTAACAACTGCAATAATTTATCCTGTTTCAGAATAATTTTATCATAAATCAATGAAAGCTAAAGTAATGTACAAATGAAATCATACAACTTTTAGTTAATACTTACAGAATGAATTTCACCAACTAAAAATGATATAATCCAACAGAAACAAATATATTCTGCCACAGAGGGAGTTACTTTGTAATCTACTAGAACCATGTATGAAAACAGCGACAAAAATATCAGATATGACACCTGAAAATAAAACCAAAATCTTTTCCTCTAGAACATTCAAATAACACATCAATAGGCACTGAGTGCATTGTTATTTTTACATGTCATTGCTAGGGTGCCGGCCACGCAGCCAGAAATTGTATTAAATACAAGTTGAACTTACTTCGGCCCATGCTGAGATCAGAACCAAGGCAATTCTAGTTCAGTATTCTGTCCACTCAACTATAGAGAGCCTAACTTCTACTGAACTGTTCCCAGTTTAACATCCATTTGACACAAACTAGGTCATTTTGTTTTCAATTTTATTTCAATAATTACCCCTCGTGTAGGGGTCTTTAGCTGTGGGAGGAAACCGGAGTACCCAGAGAAAACCCAGGGACTCGGGCAGGCAACCCTACTCCTTGTCACGTATAAGTGGGGAATCGAAACCATGTGCCACTTGACTCAATGACCGATCTTATGATCTAACCATTTGACCACCCAAATCTCTACAATATAAACAACTTACCGTATAATGTGTAAACTTTGTGATAGGAGCTGTATAAAATATCTGTAGCTTTTCATACCATTTCACTTTTCTCTTCTCACCCATATCAGAAAGTTCCATAAAACGTGTCAATATCAGGAATGGTAGCAGAACTGCAGTTCCAACCTGAAAATAAAAATCTTTTTAATCAATAAGGGAACAACTTATATGGACTTGATATATTTTCAAAATTTAATATTACACAAGTTTGTTCATCTTTATTTACAAAATTAGAATTTGATTGCCCTTTAGGTTATGTAGTACTGTTATACAACAATAGGACGTGAGGTCCAGTGATGACCTGGAATATAAATCTACACTAAAAACACTATTGGGGTCTCCTGGAGAGAAGTTAAAAAAAATTAGAAAACTACTGATAAGCCCTTTTGTTCTAATGGAAAAAAAGGACTAACGAAGAAGAAATGAAATGAAATGGGGTTTAATATCCTATTGTAAGGAAGATAAAAAAAGAATGGCAAATGTGCCACAAATTTAAGAAATTATATAATATGGGTCGTGATTCTGTTTGTCATTGAATGTTTTAAGTATCTAGTAAGACACATAGTTTTATTTCCAATCAGTGGTAATATATTCAGGATCTCGACTGTTAAGGAAATATATCTTTAAATAAAGAAAATATTAAAACTGTGCATAGTGAAATCATGTAATACTAACCCGTCTCCATGACGACAGAATACCATGTTTCCAAGTATGATTAATAGCATATTGACAACCAACAGATGACAGAAAAAGCTAAAATAAAGAATTTCAACAGTACAAAATATTTCAAGAAATGCACAGAATAAATTCAGAAATGCACAGAATAAATTCAGAAATGCACAGAATAAATTCAGAAATGAACTCCTATCATTAAATGGTGGTCCAATCCCTTTAGATATATTTTTAATTATAGTAGGTCACATTAATTAAAATGTAATTTAAGGTAGCATAGTGTTGATAGTTTAAAGATGCAGAGTAATCCAATAATTTACTTAGGCTTCTATATTTATGATAAATGGACACCAAGTAACAACAAATACAAGCTGTAAAAGGATTCTCCTTAGGTCAATTCATGTCACAAACAAGGATGTCCAAAATAGATTTAGATGACTTGGGCTAATTCCTTGTGATTAAAATGTTTTGACAGATTTGAAGCCAACTTCTGATAGATAAATTAGTTTGAATATGCTTTTATAATTAAGTCACACGGTTTGTATGTGGGAAGGCATCTTTAAAGCTGGCATCAAAAGTTCAGAAAATACCCTGACATTAACCATTACTAATTTACAATAATTTTTTTCTTTGTTCTGTATTTTTAGATTTGAAAGTGTCTGTCAGTGTTACCTGATCTTTACCAGAGGCAGCCATTTGTAAACAAGTCACATCACTCCACATTGGTGATTTTCTCTCAACTAACATCATTGCTTTATCTGGATCAACTGATTGACATTCATCTAATACTTTTGTGGCTAATTCTTCAAATGTACTACAAACAAAACATGCAAAGACAAATGTACAGAACACTGCAAACAGGTGTTGCAAGGCAACAAAACATACGCCAACAGCAGCTAAGTCACCTAAATAAGTGCTTCTAAGATTTCGTAACAAAGGAAAATAACTCTGGAAGATATTGATAGCGCAGCCTAAAAAGTTCTAAAACGATTTTGTAACAACGTGGCATAACTCTATAGATTTAATTATTGAAAAATGTTAGAAATCAATAGGATTCTTCATTTCAATAAGGTAAAAATACCATATTTATTTTAAAAGGATAGCCTTTGTCTTTACAAGAAAATCAAAAGGATTCTTCCAATTTTAGACACATCATATCATAATTCAAGCCTATAAGGTGCTAACAAAAGGCGATAACTCTTTAGGTTAGTGTGAAAAGAGTTGAAAAACAAAAGGCTTCTTCTTTTCAGTAAGGCAGGGAAAGTGATCTGGACAGTTTATTCATTATTATTATTGCAATAAATATTTTCAGAATTTCTAGATACAAAACAAGAGCATTGGTACGACTGCAATATACGTCCACATTCCTGGAGGTCGGGCATGCACCAAAATATATAATGGCTGTCTTTACGGTATAAGGAGTGAATATGCAAATTTCCAAGATGATCTATTCAGAATTGCAGCCTGTAGATGATAAACACAAAAAATGAGCAGGACTCAGCCCCTGGGAGTTGGATATGGAACAACATAAATTGTTGAATTATGATGGGATCATACCGAATTGGATCCAAATCTGTTAATAATTGCAATCTGTAGATTATTTACATAAAAAATATTCACAAAATGTTGGTGCGGCACTGCCGAAGCGGGCGGATCATGCATCAAAATCATTAGTTGTCGTCTTTAGGGTATAAGGAATAAGTATACCAGTTGTAAGATAATCCATTCAGAATTATGACCTTCAGACGCTAAACACAAAAATAGGCGTGGCTATGCCCCTGGGTTCAAGACACACGCCAAAATCGATAATTGCATCCTTAGGCTATAATGAATACATATTCCAAGTTCCAAGATGATCCATTAAGAATTGTGATCTGTAGGCAACACACAGACACACTAAGAAAAAATGTGTGTGGCTCTGCCACTGGGGGTCGGGCATTCACCAAAACAAATAGGGATCATCCTTAGAGTATGCAAAGTTTCAAAAGGATCTGTCAAGAATTCTGTCCTGTAGGCGACACACAGACACAAAATTTGGGCATGGCTCTTTCTCACAGGATCGAGCATGCACCAAAAAATAATAGAGGTCATCCTTAGGATATAAGGAATAAGTATGAAAAGTTTTCAAGACAATCCATTAACAATTGGGACCTGTAGGCAACACAGACACACAAATAAAAAAAAATGGGCATGGCTCTGCCCCTGGGGGTCGGGCACACACAGACAGGGGCGACCTCCATACACGTCCACACTATGAATGTGGACACATAAAAGTATTAACTTACTCTTTAGCAGCTGCAAAATCTTCTCGTAAATCATTTTGATATTTAGGTAGTTTTACAATCATTCCATCACAAAGTCTGGTAGCAGCTATAGCACTTGTTATAGGTTCTTGTCCCATTTCCCAGAAAAATATTGACATCTGAGATCTAAATACACATTATACAAAATATTTTTATTAGGTCCACACTCCACATATATATATTTTCCCTTTAACTGTCTGTACAAAATGTTTAAATCATAACAAAATGTCCAATTTAGCAACAAACAGCTTATAAGATAGATATCTTTATTGCATTCAAACATCAACGAACCAAATGGAGTTAACATTCTAATTTTCTGCTCCAGAGTCCTACTGGACTAATGAAGACCGTGGATCAAGTACAATCTATATGTAAACTAAAGTCTATATGCTTCATGCTCTGTGCATCATCGGTTGATCCTCTGTGGATTATCAAGCCAACATTGCTAGATGACTGAATTATACCCAGGAAAATCTGACTTATTTCAAAAAGGAAACATAACTCCAAATAGAGCAAACTTAAATATACGTAGAAAGTTTCTTTTGGATTATAGCAATAACCGTCAAGAATCAATCGAGTGTTAGCAGATGAATGGCAGATCATGGGCAATCTGTAATGTAGAATACAGTTAACTGTAACTAACCTGTTCATAAGAACTGACCATATTAGGAGTTGTTTATATGGACATTTGAAGCCATTTTCAGTAAAATCATCATCTGAACCTGAACTGCGACTGCTGTGCGGAATTACAGATTTATTATATTGATTAGATTTTTTGGATGGCTTTGCTGAAAATTTATCATCCTCGAACCTATCCAGGAATGATTTAAGAAAGCTTCCAATGTCTTGTAAATCAAATTCATTTTTATTTCGGGTGGTTCGTTTCAGTAAAATATATAAATGGCTATGTTTTGGTATCTGGAAACAAAAAATATAAAACTATAAGTCTTCTGGATAATAGATTTGTTTTCCTTAAAGAAAAGTTGTCTTTTGATCAGTCAGTTGTACATAGTATAGATTTGAATTAGATCTTAAAATGTACAGTTTATGTACAGTTTCAATTTGTTTATTTAGATGTTGAATAATTTCGGTCTTCATTATTAGGATATCAGGCCATACTGCCCACACCGAACTCAATGGAAAGGAGTTTAACACACTACTTTGTAACCCACAAAAATTTAAGCTCTATCTATGTTTAAATTGCAGTGTCCAGTCAGTAGTGTTTCGTGTGTTTCTTCAAGGGTTCTTTCCCATCCATGCCAATATGCTTCATAAATTTTCAATGATTAAACTTTTGTCAGCTCTGCAGGAGAACCATGCTTGTAGAAACCTGACAAATTTTCAGCCCTCGGCATGATTTGAAAAAAAAAAAAAGTCTGTCGATATCAATGATATATTTTGATTATAAAAAACTTATGGCATTTTTTTGTTACACACCAACAATGCCTGTCATGGTAATAAGATATATCTATCTACCTTATTATAGAAATCTTTTAATCTTTCAACAGTAAGATATTCTTTCATACAAACACCTTGATCTAATAATAGTTTAATAAAGTCTACTTTATCTTCCAATATTGCTGTTGTCATTGTATCATCTAAAGCTCCTGTAAATATAATTTACAAAATAGTACTACATTATGCATTAAATTAAATGTTGTTCACTTACTACTGCTTAAAGTGAAATCAGAGGTAGTTATCTCTCTTTGTGGTCAAACAGAAACACCTTAAATTCTTGTTATGATCAAATTTTGGGGCAGTTTGGTTTTATCATATAGCAAATAGACTGAATTGTGAATTATATATAGAGAGAGAGAGAGAAATGGGGTTTAACGTCCACTCGACACAAACTAGGTCATTTTGGGACTAACATATGGTTTAATTTTATTTACATAATTTGCTTGCGCGTAGGGGTCTTTAGCAGTGGGAGGAAACCGGAGGACCCGGAGAAAACCCACGAGGTTGGACAGGCGACCCTACTCCTTGCCACGTACAACCAGGCATTCGAAACCACGCCAGTCGACTCAATGACAGACTTTATGATACAGCACGCGCACGCTAACCATTCAGCCATACAACCCCCCTGTGAATTATATACATTCAGACAAGTGGTTATTTGATCATGAATATTAGTGGTCCTTTTTCTCACAAACAAACTATGAAAAGTCAATCAATATTTTCTTTAACATACAGTATTAAAGCTCTGCTACTATTTAATAAAGATAACCAACCTTGGTGCCAATTAACATCTTCTCCAAATATTTCTCTTTGAGCAATGTCAGCTCTATTCCACGTCATGGCCAACTTTAAATTTTCTAAACGTTTCCTATTATTTGAGTTGTGTCCATCTTTTTTAGCTGAAACAGTTAATGGAGCTTGATATCGTTATGTGACAAGCTAGACGAGTAACTAAAAGTCATAATGGCCTGTCATTTGTGAATGGAATAAGGTCATGTGTGATCAATAACAGGGCAAATTAGAAGCCTGAAAAATTATGTATAGAACAACTTATATTTACTTCATATCCACGTTTCATTAAAAAAAGCTAGTAAACTTCTAATATATCATATTGAATAATTGTCAGACTAAACCTTTAGTTGGAACAATAACTAAGGGTTTAAAACAGGCTAAGTCCAACATGGCAGTTGCTGTAGAGCACTTTGCAATTACACAGGTATTAAGAGCTTTTTATTATTGACAAAAATAAACATATCCATAACAATTTAACAATTTAGAAGAGATTAATAACAAACAGAATGCAAAATCTATAGAATATTTTGATTTTTCTACCACATTCTGAACTCAAAGATAATTCGGATTGGTTCGTTGATAAAGTTTTCAATGGTGCCTTTGGAAAAAGCAGAAACTTGATGGCCATTTCCTTGCATTGCCAGAAGCAAAATTGACAAAGAACAATGTAACAAACCATCGTAACATTATTATAATAAACCATCATGTTGTTGAGCATCGTAACAATATTATAATAAATCATTGTGTTACTTATCATCGTACATTATGATACAACGGTACTAACCTTTTAATAGAACTGATAAAATAGCTAGATCTAAATCTTCATGCTTATTCATATGGAATATAATCATCTAGGAAAAAAAAGGAATTCACCAAGATTTATAAACAAATAGAATTCCGGCTTAAATCGATAAAATAATTTACAGTATCAATGGCTGTTTTATATAAAACATTTCTATATTTTATTGTACAATGAACGGAATGGACTATCATCTCATAAACACAATACTTTGGCCACTTCGAGACTAACATATGGTGATTTTTATTTTTACAGTTGCAATGCAATAGAGGAAAATTTTTCCAGAACAACTGAATTTTTGACAACTCTCCTTTGAATACCACCAAGTAGCATCAATAGTACCACACATGACAAGTGAGAACTGGGTTTGAGAAATCTCTAAGTGCCTAACTACCACAGCCCTCTATTTCACAATTAATTCTGTATACTTTAATTATTGTTAAAATTTTGCAGGCATATTATATCATCACATTTCCTACCAAGTCTTCTCTTAAACAACATTCTTCTACTAGCTCCAGATATTTTCTGACTTCTTCATCTTTTTTGTCGTCCTTCCAAGATTTTCCGTAAGAGTCCAATATATAATTACACAATTTCTTTTTATATTTCTTTTTTAAATGTCTTTTCTCTCTAAGAAATACAAACATAAATTTATAACATAGACCTGGGCTTTCTTAATACATTTCTGTTTGATCTTGATAATTGTACAAAATATGATAGTCAGGTTCAAAACAGCTCTGCTAACAGGATGCAAGATCACAGATCTAGGGTCAATTCTTAATTTGCGATTAATTGTTAGGGATTTTATTTATCATTTAATACTTTATCATGTGATTTACTTGTAAACATGTTACTACTTTAAAGAAATTCTTCATATTTTTCAGAGAAATTTCAGCATATTGTACTCGATTAGAATTTTGTATGGATCTACAAATATTTTACTAACATACCCCTTTCTCTTTGTATGTTTATAAGCATAAGCAAGAATATCTGCTGCTCTTCCTGTACCAGCACAAATAACAACAGGTGTTCCTTCATCTAAAGATCGTTTAGCATCAGTAATGGCATCTGTACCACCTTCTACTACCACTAATACAACAGGTATACCTAAACCTCCATCTGTAATACATTACATTAGAATAGGTGTATAGGAAACAAAATGCATTACTAGGGCAGTCCATGTGGGCTTGTCTGTTCATTCAGTATATGCTCAGATTTACATTATGAGATGCATGCGAGTTACGGTCTAGTTTAAAACCCTATAAATAACGCGTCACATGAATTTACATGACAAGTAAGAAATGATCAAAGACTTCCTTGTAAAATATGAGTTATCCTTCCCAACTGTAGCAGTAATAAGCTGTAAAAAAACAAGTCCCGTACATTGGGGGAGGAGTTGTAGGCGGCAAGTACTGAGTTATAAACTGAACAGTCAATCTATATTTCAAGTCAATCTATATTTCAAGTCCATCTCACTTCCGTTATCTATGACAAACAATCTGATTAAAATACAGATCTATATTTCATTTCGTTTTGCCTACACTACATGAAGATCTGAAAAATTGTACTGGAAGGTCATGTCAGGGGTCATATTAGCGGCTTTTGACCCTGTGATTAATCAATCAGTGTTGATGTTTCTAGTGGTTTACCCACAGTTCCGTGCATGGCATGCCAAGAAGTCAACATAACAGACCGTTTCATTGGCTAATCCCTCACTTCAACCAAAACGCCGGTAATATAACAACTCTTCCAGATCGTAGTGTAGTAAAGACAAGTAAAAGTATAAAAAACGAAACGAAATAGGATCTGTGTTTTAATCAGATTGCTATGGCAAATCAGGTAATTAGAAAAAAGTCGGACAAGATAGAGTTTTTCTCGCATTTTCTGGCATATATATTTTTCCAGTTTAGCATCACAGCAAACCACCACCGACTGTGTTTTCATTTTCATTTTATAGCCAGAAATTGCTCAGAACACTTCTCCAACGATCAAGATCCCCAGGAGCTTCCAGGGCCTAGGCAGCCCCTGAACCATCGCCTAAATTCCTAGGATGGTAGCCGCCGCTCCACCCCCCCCCCCCCCACCAAATCAAGAATTACTTCAGCCGGCCCTGAAAGATATCAGTTTTTAATTGCCTGGTTACAGTAATACAAAAGTACAAACTCAAACTATGTAATGAACATTAACCAATAACAATAAAATGTTGAAAAAAACAAATATAAATGGATATAATGTAATACACATCCTTATTTCGATACGTACCAGTTGCAGGACGAGAAACAATTTTCTCAAATTTAGCTCGGAAGTCAGCCACACCACCATATCTGTTTCTCATACCATCATCAACAAAAATAAAATGGGTGTGGTCTGGATTTAAAGGCACTGGTTTACCATGAAGAATAACATTAGACGGTTTATAGGAGGCTCTAAAATTACCCTGCATGATAGAATGTCAAAGATAATTTATCATTAAACGTTGGATATGGTAAGTAAACTGTCGCTGCCAAATGTCAAAGAATTATTTGTCACGAATAATCATTTTTCTGCTGTCAATTATACAGCACAGCAGATTATCACAAAGTGTTGTCTGCTATATAATATGTGAGCTACTGACGGATAATCTATTGCCAACAAACCAAATTCATGGATTCATATTATCAAAGATCGTTTGTTTAAGCCTTTGATGGATGCCACTATTTAAACATACATTATGCAAGATCTAAATCTTCCTATTGCAAGTCTTTATTTAGGCTTCAGATGTTATACAAATTATTAATTAGACTTTTATTTACATGACATGCTCAAAATCAACGCTGTAGACCCTCTCATGGCTTGGATACAGGTTGGATTTAAACAGTTGTCCATTTAAAATTAAATCAAGAAATGGCCGCCCAAGCTAACGTTTACCATTAGTCACTGACATCACTACTGGAAACTGGTGATGAAATGCCTGCCAAGTAAGGGTACCATAGCCATTAAAAAATGTGACTTGATAATCGAGAATATGTGGGTGGAGTTATCGTCTGTCAATCAAACGATCGTCAATTCTCGTAGACGGTGCGGACACAGTTGATGCCCATTTCTAGTCAAAACTTCCAACAGTGACAACTCCGTTCAGAATAAAGTAATTTGACTGAAATTTTCAATATTTTCTTTTTTTATCATCTATTTTGAATTATTATAGCAAGAATGGCCAACTCTTTATTAAACTCTTAACTTATGTATCTTTAACTTTGTAAAAACTAAATTTTCTGTTAAATGTTTAAATAAAAATCCCATAACCATGACAGCAATAGGGAATACTCATGTAAGACATACAGTCAGCAACGAAATGTATGTGCCAGATAATTTGTGTGGTGTACATTGCATATGTTCAGGCTGACAGATTATAATTGATGAGAAATCGGGGTGTCGTCGACAAATAGGTTTGCAGTGACCAGGCCTTTACTTGTGATATTTTGCTACTTGTACCACAGCTATATATTTAATCTTAAAGACAAACATATACATGTTCATATTATTTTATCTACATCACGAAATTTCCAAATTTCATTCATATAACAATAATTATCATGTCTATCCTCAAATTTGAATCATTTCAGATTATTCATTCATTGAATCCAGACAGAAGTATTTGCATTAGAAAATTAAATAGTCTTAATCAATTCTTACCACACCATCCCCGACTAGAGCATCCCGACCTCTGATGTACCCCCATGGTGCTATACCAATACATCTTATAAGATGAGTCATTCTGTCATCGTCCCAAAGAAATGTCTGACCCTCATTAACAGCTTGACCAACAGATTTCATCACACCCATGTTAAAACCAGATGTAATTAACCAGGCAGAAGTAGTCTTTGCAGCCTAAAAGAAAGTTTGAATATTTCAGTAAAACATTAACATTACAGAAAATGACATAAGAGAAATTTTCAGAAAACCTAATTACCTTTATCAAGCCAGTTGAAAATGTTTCTCTCATTCTTCCATCAAGTCGAAAGTTTTTAGCTCCACCAATAACAGAAATAACCAAATTTGGAGGTTGGGGGTCCATTATTCTCCAGTGGTCTTCCATTAACTTCAAGACATTCCTGACATTATCATCTTCAGTAACCCGAACATACTACAATAATAAATGAATGAGAATTATGTACCGTCAATATCTGACTGGACATGTCAAAATTATGCTGCAACCAATTCTATTAAAGATACATTATGGGAGATTCGGTAACGAGTTGGCAATTCTCACTATAATAGTTAAAAACTAGATAATGTAAAGGCAATTTGGTAAAAATTTCATTCAAATTGATCCACTATGAACCGAGAACTAAGCGACTAAAATTCCCATAAGCCTCGGTCATCATTACTAAAGTCAGTACGATAAACAGCATAGTCTCGATTATCCATTTAATTGTTTAATAGAGAAGGAAAGTTATGAAGTAAATCGGCTTACAATCCACTAAAGATCGCAGGTTAGCGCTGCCATCTAGAGTTGATTATGGCCTGGATAGGTTAATTAATGTCTAATTAATACTTTAGATAACATTTCAGGCCTAAAGAAAGACCTGAAATAGGCAGATTTAGCTCTTGCATAATGTATGTTTAATGAATAGAGTGGTTAGACACAACAATAAAACGAATATCATAGGCTGCCATCCGCTTGTACCTTTTTAATGACTCATTATTATCTACCTTGGAAGGTTTTCTTCCTCCAATCTGTTCAACTTTGAAATGTATTTTACCAAAGCTTGTTGTAATGGTTTTGGTCAACGATTCTTTAGCATTCCATTTAATATCTGGCAATTCTTTTGTTAGTGTAGAATTTCCTTCTTGGAGCAGCTTTCCTATTGCTAAAAAATTTCCCAATAAAAAAATAATTCATTATCCAGCCTATAAAATAGATCTGCTTAAGAGGCATCAATGAAATGAAATAGAATGGGAGAGAGAGAGAGAGAGAGAGAGAGAGAGAGAAAAATGGGGTTTAACATCCACACGACACAAACTCGGTCATTTCGGGACTAACATATGGTTCAATTTTATTTCAATAATCCGATTGCGCATTGGAGTCTTTAGCAGTGGGAGGAAACTAGAGGACCTGGAGAAAACCCACAAGGTTGGACAGGTGACCCTACTCCTTGTCATGTACAACCAGGGAATTGAAACCATGACAGTTGACTCAATGACAGACGTTATGATACAGTGTGCACACGATAACCATTCGCCCATTCCCCCCCCCCCTCGAAATAAAATGGGGTTTAACGTCCTACCTTTCTGCATTGACTGGGTTAATGAAAACTGGCATATGAAATACAGTGTGTTATGAGGGAGTTTTTGCCCCGACAGTGGTGCTACGACCTACTCTTATATCGAATTCGAACTATGAAGGGTTCTTTTACATGTATGCTCATGTGTATACGGGACCTTGGTTTTTCATCCCATCTAAATGACTAGACACTGTCCTTGTCAGGCCCTTCTTCCTACACGATTGACAAGGAACTATTTTAGCCAATAACTGGAGAGAACTCAAAACCTCATGGAGCCAGACCATGGAGCCACTGTGGCACCTTTTAGGAGGCATAAACTTACCCTTTGTGTTAAACTGCCTACTTACCAGGATCTTGTATTAAATGAGATTGAGAAAAATCTTGATCAGGGTTAAAGTGCGGCGCTGTCTCATGGAAACCAGCATGATTACTTAATATTTCACCACAGTGACATCTGCAAAATAAAGTAAAGTGAAAAAGTCAACACACCCATGATTATCTGTCAGCATTAAGCCATTTTCTGATTTTGGGTATGCAGCAACTGTAAACCCAGACATATCTTTAGTGACGAAACATATTTGAAGTCTCTGAAAAGGTCATTATCAAGTCTCTGAAAGGTCATTACCAAGTCTCCAAAAGGTCATTATCAAGTCTAGGAAAGGTCATTATCAATTTAAAATCCATTTATACTTGGATATGTCAATTTCTCTATTACACATTTAAAATCTCATTATACCGGTACTTCATAAATTTTCAAATATAGGTTGCCAGGCAACGAAACATACGCCCACAGCAGCTAAGTCATCCAGGCAGTCAACAAAGGTTGTCGTATCTTTTTTCTTTTGTCAGTAATGAAAACATTTAAAACACATGAAAATGTATTAACGCGTAATAACCCATTAAGTAATTATCAAAAATCATTAGAATTTGTTTTGATTGTTTGTCTCATGACCATAAGCAATTTATATAAAGATTTTTCAAAGTGATCAAGGGCCATAACTCTGGCAGTAATTATCGAAATTCGTTGAAAAGAAATAGGATTCCTCGCCTCATGACCTTAAACACTGTGTATATAAAGTTAATCAGATTAACTTTCGCCTCTAGAGCTTCAACAAATTATCGGAAAAACTTTAAAATTCAATAGGCTTCCTTGTCTCATGACTTTAAACAGTGCGTATAAATTTAAAGTCAATCGGATATTAACTTTAGCCTCTAGAGCGTCAACAAGATTTTTCAAAGTGATCAAGGGCCATAACTCTGATAGTAATTATCGGAAATCGTTAAAAAAAAAAAATAGGATCCTTTGTCCCATGGCCTTAAACACTGTGTATAAATTTAAAGTTAATCGGATACTAACTTTAGCTCTTGTAGTAATTATCAGAAATTGTTAAAAATGACTAAGGTCCATCGTCTCACAACCTTTAACACTGGGTATATTACTATAAATTGGATATTAACTTTACCAGAGCTCCTACAAGATTTTTCAAAGAGGTCGATTGCAAAAACTCTGGCAGTAATTATTGGAAATCACTGAAAATCAATAGGATTCTTCGTCTCATAACATTAAACACTGTGTATAAATTTAAAATCAATCGGATATTAGCTTTAGCCTCTAGAGCGTCCACAAGCATTTGTTGACACCAGACAGACGGAGGGGGCAACGACAATATACGACCACATTTCAATGTGGGCGTATAAAAACTAGAGTCAAAAATGTAAGTTTTATATGGGTACAGATAATGGGTTTATCAAATCTAGACCTCTGTCAAACTTAAATTATCAAATATAAAAAGTGTTACAAATCTTACTTTAAATCTCGAACTTTGGTTTCTTTTGGTTGTTGTTTAGGAACAAACCTTGTACACTCCTTCTGATGAAAATTTTCTCGGATATAGCGTGTCTGTGCTTCAATCTGTAATAAATACTCATGTAACACAAGGCAACATAACTAAATAAAAATTTAGATCAATAAATGGCAATTAAGAAAGCAACAAATCTATGGCCACAAGCGGCATTTCGAAGGGTTACATGTATTTTTGGGTCTGGGATAGTACTAGGGTAATGTAAGGTCCACGATGAAAGTGATTAATTCTTTAATTATTGTGTCGTCCGCTACACCCACAATTTAATCAAAATATATAGTTTCCTTTGTTCTTTCTATGTCAGTTTGCAATGCTTATGTTGAGCGCATATATTTTCACTGATGAAAAATTATTGGAGAGATGACAGAAACCAGGCAACAGTAAAACTTATTAAGATATGTGAAATTCAAATTAAATTAAACTTTAAATATCCATGTCAGGAGTTTCACAAGTATATATTAAGAAATTGCAGATTATTAGAAGCCGTGAAGTCGAACAAAAAGTACCCTCATAAACTCATTAAACTATCTTGAGTTGTTACGCAATCAGAGAAAATCACAAGTTTCAGTAACATATTTCTTGTCTCAGATTGCTGAGAATGGCGTTTCCGGGCTTCTAGTTTTCAAAACTTTTCGAAGGAGGGAATTTACAGACTATTTCCATTTTTTACGTGACATTCAATTACTTTTTTGAATTGTCAGATAAGACACTTCATCCCTGCGTTCCAGTCTACCAAACTGTAATTGGGTAATGGTAGGATGTGGATGCAATTACACAAAGACTGTCGGGCTCTTTAAGCAGCACAGGTTGGGGCTCTATTTAAAATTGTGAAAGGAGGCTTTACATGTATCTGTATTGCAGTGTTTGTGATAGTAATTATATCACACTTTGAGCACAACCTCTGTGGATATAGCGCAATAATAAATATACACATTATTAAGAGTAGTATTATTACTTTTTTAGTTTGATTATTAAGTAAAGTACCTTATTATCAATCGGTGCCTCCAATACCTCTTTTGTGAAACGGGGAAGTCCAGTTTTCTTGCGCATGTCTGACCATTTGGCATCTTCAAGAGTTGAAGATCTATATCGATATGGATCTTGTGATTCTGAATAGGACATCTTTGACATGCTTGGTCCTCCATAATTTATTGCTGATATATTCATTTCATCAGCTGGGTGTACTCGCCACCCTCCACTTGACGCCATTCTGACTTCTGGACGGAACAACACAGTGACAAATAAAATTACAAACTACATTTTCATGTACCTGAAAAACAGATATATAAATCTAAACAATACTCTGTTCCGTTTACAAGCAGGAATAAATCCTTTTTTTTTTCATTTTGTTCATTTCCAGGATCCATAATGGTCTGAATACCTATCTGTCATAGCCATAGCCATACAAAAACATGCATTATATGAATTATAAATATCTATTTTTTTTTTAGGTGTTCAAAATCATGTTGTGATCCAACTGAATTATTTGAATATACAGTTGCCTACCAGTACTCAAAAATCCCATTCTTAACTAAAAATAGTAGATTATTTATCTTTAATTAGTGGCATTTAAATAGTAATTGAACAATGCCACGCTAAAAACTATAAACATGTAAGGAACAACAATTACTGGTTTATAAAATTATACACATGCAATTAACATTATCAAATATTAAAGACGGCAGTACAATTGAAAAACCTGCAAAAAGTTTCACTAAGAACTGTCCATTTCACGCTTCAAAACCTTTGTGTACCAAATGACAAATAGGATCATTTACAAAATGCTTATATTTTCAACTGGAAAATAAATTAATTGTAGGCCTAGATCTATATAAATATGTAATAAAAATACTGACAAAATATATAGCCTACACATGTGCATGTAATCTGACAGCTCGTTCTTCCCTCAATATGACATTCTGTTTGATACAGTCTAATATGAATCTGTGAGGCTGTTATTCTGATCATCACTTTGGTAGATCTACCACCAAAGGAAGAGCTAGGTGTACGAAAATGTGCATCAGCACCAATTAATTATATGCTTAACAATACTCCACTCATGTTTTAATTTACTGTCTGAAATGTTTTAAATTTTAAACAGATTTCTTTGATTGTGAACAAACTACTGAATAATTGTTATTAAAAACTTGCCTGTGTTCGAAATCGCCTCCGGTTGAATAAAATCCATTACACAATTAAATATCCCAACGAAAAAAAAGGTCTCTCTTGAAAAGTCAATGTTTTTGCTTGTATTGTCAACTGTGTCCATCACAACATTGTACATATCACATGATGAGCTAAACCATCGTAATATGCCGAAGGGGGTAAAGGATGACAAATTATGACAATCATGTGTGTTGTAATCAAAACAGCGCACGACCTTTTCGATCGTTTGAGTTTGGGCAACAAAAAAAGCAGCTAAAGACAATAACATTAATTTGATTGTCAGTCTACTAAATTTTATTCACAATGTCAATGAATATACCACCGATTATACGAATACTCGTAAATATAATATTGCTTTTCACATCATCATCACCCCATAATTATAAATACCCTGTATACTATACATGTATATATTTTTATAAATTATATTAGGCCCTACATCCCTGTCAATTACAGGCAACTTTGTGGCTAACATTTATAAATAAACACACTTTATTTCATAATTTTAACTGATCATATTCCATAATGGAGTCCAATTCCAATGCTCTGTGATTATTAGTCCATTTTCAAAGTTTTATGATTACCACAAAAAATATGAAAAAAGGCCACAGCTTCTCAATAATTTCCATATTTAATTCATGTTCCGACTGTTCATGTCAATAATATTATTTTTTTTTTTTTTTTTTATTCGACAGATACTGAAATCGCAACATTCTTGATAAGAACAGTTTGGGATGTCTAAACATCATTTATTGTCTTTATAAAAATATATTTAAAACAAAAAATAATTCCCCAAAAGAGGCATCGCAGATTGTGTTTATTAATTATTGGGTCTTGTGTGTCAATTATGCAGACCGTGAGAAAAACTTGTGCAAGTTTTGCGCTAAATTTAACAATTTACACTGCATCTGTGTAGCATACAATAACTCATATGGCATGATATCTTTTATGGTAATAGAATTCAAAGCATTGATTTGCTGAGGTATAGGTATATAAATTATAACTTAATTTATATACCTAAATGATTCAATGGCCTTGGCTATTAATTTTGCCGAGGCAAATGTAAAATACATCGGCATTTACGGATTTAACTCGGCTACAACAGATTGCCGAGGTTGATTGACAGAACTGCTTAAGTTCGTCAGGAAATATTAAAGAAATTCAAGGGTGAGATTCAAGGCCCAAAAAATGAATGTTGTTCTTTTTGTTCTGCACCTGTGTTCAAAAGAAATAATCCCACCCAACTCTCTAACCAAATAATTAATACAATTACAAAATACAAGACGGAAACAAAATAACGGACGACAGGCATATTTATGTTTGTAAACGCCCAAACTCATTACTGGGTCCAAGAGCAATGCCGGTAGCTTATTCACACACATAATTTGAACTGAAGTAAAAAAGCCAAACACCGTTACGATAGACAAGCTTTGCTGCGATGCACATACATGAACTGATCTATCCCGATAAGTGACATAGTTAGCTTCCATTTTTGTATTTCTCGATGTCCAAGTTTGTGATGAGTTCAATTTTACAAGAGATAACTTTTTTATTCGCTGGAATAGTTGTACAATGGATTTTAATTAACCGGAGGAAATGTCAAACACACAGGTAAGTTTATAATATAATAACCTAGGTTAAGTAGTTTGTTCATAATCGAAGAAATCCGTTTAAAATAGACGACAGTTCAGACAGTAGGCCGATGTTCTTAAAGCTAAGAACAACTATGAGCAGGCTTACCAGCAATATGCAACTATTAATCATGCAATTGCCACCATGACATGTCTTTAGCACATTGATTAGCATTAAATTAATTAGCAATATTATTTGGAACTAGATCAGCAAATTATCGACAGCAATTAAAATTAAGGCTTTGGCCTAATGCTCAAATAGTTTTAACAACTTGCAAGTGTTGAAGATTTCTGACAGTACTACCAATAACACTATTAAAAGAACCACATTAGCATTACATACGGTAATTATAATGTTTAATGTAATTTTTAGTCTGTGAGACAATGAATATGATGCTATAAATAATCGAACTGCCGTGACAGGTCGGTGGGCATACATGTACGTCCGTAAATGCATGTACGTTCGTTTCACAAAACTGAATATCGTTTTCCTTTAAACTTCAAAAAATAGAAATAGCTGGGTTGAAATAGCTTACTCGTGTATCCCATTTTTAAACAGGTGCCGCCATTATCCCTTTACTTGCTGACACACTTATTCCCAAGAAGAGATTTATTATTTACGCAACCATGGCAAGAATCAGGTTTGTTTACATCGTTAACCAACAGGCATCTAAAATATCAACTACACAAGTGCGTCTAATACCTTTCTAAAAGGTCATTGTCGTCTAATTATTTTATCACAGATGGCAAAACCAGCAGATACTTATTCACTGGAATATGATAAAATTTTAAAATGTTAAATAAAAAGTATATTTCTAAACAATTCAAAATGTTTCACTTCCATTGTCCCCTTACGAATCAGTGTGTAAATCATTTTCGACTGGTAAATTTCGCTACTTCCGTTTCCGTCTACAATTTCAAAATGGTGTAAACAAAATTTAAATAAGTTATTGAAGATGTTTTTTTCTAAATTACTTCAAATAGCAAATATATATTTATAAAGAAAACGGGAATTTAAAAGAAAAAATAACAGGCTTTAAAATGCTAGGCAGAAAAAGAAAATGTTCCACCCATTTTGTAGATGAGGAAAGTTATAATTCTCTCAAAGTTAGTGGACAGGTGGTTTAAATTTAAAATCAGTCTTAAAATGCTAGACCTGATATTGATATTGCCAGTGTTACTGTCAGCATCATACATTTACCCCAAAACTAGTACCGATATAGCTACTATTGGTTTTACCAATATCAGATGTTGACAATGAAACAAATACTGAAATAGGCTAGCCTATATTGGATAGCCTACAACAATTGCTGGCGCCCCAATAGTCTAGTAGTGACTCCTTAAAAAATATTAGCCTACACATTAAAATGCCTTGAATGTCATGGTAATTGATGTAGATGTGTATATGTTACAGGCAAGGTGTACAATGCCTTTGTAACCCTAACCCCCACCCCAACCCTAACCCTAACCCGGCAATGTACACATTGACTGGTATATTTCAGGCATTGTAGACATTGACTGATTGTAGACATTGACCCATTGACTGTCACATATACATCTTTGTTAATCGGAAAACACGTACTATTTCATTTCAAGAATCAAAGACGAACACAATGTTTTTTTTAAGTAATATTTGGGTCACGCTTCCTGCAGAGTTAAAATACACACCATGCCCATGACCATGGTCTTCTCTAATGGTGTGAGTGCACTTTGATTCAAGATGTCTGAATACCCATATGGTGCCACTTAGTGGCCAAGTCTGGCGGGGGTCCATAGATTTACCCAAAACAACCTACTTGTATTTTGAATAAAACAACACATTTTTATTGGTTTGTCTTTTTTTTATATGCATATAGATGATTAATATTCCCAAAACTTCTTTTTATTTTAAGCAAGAAAGAAATCTCTTATTGCCATATACTCATATAGTGGATTCATTTATTTCCATTTTCTTTTCAGAACTAAAATTTAGGGAATATTAATCACCTAGATATACAGAAAGGAAATATCATAAAAAGCTAGTGTTTAACAGTTTATTTAATGATGTAAATACAGCTCAACACTCACTCAGTGAAGTCTGTATTACTACAGGCCCGGGACTGTATAGCGGAGTGGATGCTTACGGCTAGCCCCCGGATCCATTCAAACATTTTAATATATACATGTACGTTTGTTTGTGATTTTTGCGTATTATGTCTTGCCTGTAGATTTGTTTTGTGTAAATTATATGTGGTGCAGTCCCCATGCACTTACATGTACTATTAAGTATTTCAGAAACATATAGTTCGTTTCAATCCGAGCTACTGAAGCAAAGAAATTGCAAATTGATATCCCAAGGCGACTGTATGCACTCGTAACATACATGTATGCATGGAAAGATCGTATAGAGATAACTTTCCATGTAGTTGGCAATAAGTCCCCACCTTCCTTGCAATCCACAAGTGCTTACAATTACATTTAACCATGTCTAACCTATCTTGCTGAAGTTATTAGTGTTATTTGGTTGTTGGTATTACTCATACAGATAAAATTATTTAACTGAGTATACCAGTATTTCTTTTACAGAAAAGGGTATGCATCACAGCTCTAAGTAAAGAAGAAGTCTCCATTAATAATAACCATGTTCAGGTTGTAGCATTAATTTCTATCATCAAAGAAGCATAATGATTTTGAATTCATTATTTATTTCTCTAACTCTAACATTATTCTCACTTTTAATAAATTTTAAGATTCAAGAGGAAAATTCATTTTTACATGCTTATGCTACACTATTTGAAAGCATAAAATTTGCATTATCATGACATACCACTCTACTTAGAGTTGGGCATAGTTTCTCTTAACGTTACTAGATCATCACATAAATGTAGTTTTAAAAAGTGTGAAACTTTTTATGGTTTCATACATGTAGTTCCATTCATTTGTTGTTAATTCATCAATTGATATTTATTTTGTGAGACACATGAAGACTATTTTTCATGATCATTACATCTTTTGGGGCTATGAAGTGGTACATGTGTCTATAAAGAGTAAAAAATCTGTAATAATTGGTTTTCTTTAATTGTTCAGTACCGCTAGCAACTCTACCATTTGATTTCAATGGAAAATTTCATACACAGTCCCTGCTTGTGACATAGTATGACTTTGTTCAAATTGAGCTCTGGCTTGTACGTGTAGCTGTAAAGTAGTGACATGACGCTGCTATGCTTGCCAATCGATGTAGCCAATTTTACTTGAAAATCAAACCACAAATTGTTATTTTAAGCCTAATTAGAAGCCTATGTTGTCAAATAAATATATCATTAATTAAAATATTATATTTTACAGCCTATGGTGATATCAGTGCCTGAAAATACTGTCTCAACATTCTCATTTCAACACACACATAATGGTGATCCTGTGTTACCCCTTCCATCAACAAACATTACATCTTGTCTACAATGTCAAGCTGGACAATCAGTAAGTAAATAATATTTTGTTTTTGTTCAACACTTTAATATGCGGCCCCAATCTTTGTTAGCCTGCTCCACTGATGACATCAGTATTACATTGCCAAAGAGCCCAGTTCAATTTTTGTCCTAGTAGTCCCAAGAAAAATTTGTGTAGCATTTCATTGGTATCATATTATACCTCTCACTCAATGTCATATCCTGACTAAAGGCCAGTGTACAACAAGTTACAACAACAGATGTACTTCTTGTTGGCAATATCCTGATGATCTGGATGTTTCTTTAAATTCACACATGAAGGGGGGGGGGGGTGGATGGCCAAATGTTTAGCACGTGCCCGCTGTATCATAAGGCCTGTCATTGAGTCAACTGGCGTGGTTTCGAATCCCCGGTTGTATGTGACAAGGAGTAGGGTCGCCTGTCCAACCTCGTGGGTTTTCTCCAGGTCCTCCGGTTTCCTCCCACTGCTAAAGACCTCTACGCGCAAGTGAATTATTGAAATAAAATTGAACCATGTGCGACGTGTTAGTTCCAAAATGACCTAGTTTGTGACAAGTGGATGTTAAACCCATTTCTCTCTGTCTGTCTATTTTAGGCTACACAAAATAAATGTCTTGTTTCTCGGGCAACTGACAGCTGAAACTGTAGGGGGGGAGGGCGGTTTATTTTTTTTTTATCTCATTTCTGGCTAGAGGATGGTGCAAAATAAAATTTGCCTATTGTTGAAAATTGTTGGGGCGGGAGGGCGGCCTTGTATTTTTTTTTTTTTTTTTAATAAGAAAGTCATTACTTGTCTACGGTTTTGCTTTCAGTTATATATTATACATACTTAGAACATAAACCCAAAAATCAAGTCTACTCAAACACTGAACACTGACTGAAAGGAAAATAATTTTCCATATTTAATTCACGTAATGTAGCTTACTAATGGTAATAGTGACAACCATAATTGAAATTGGTTTAAAATAAAATTCCGTACGACTATTAATAGCCGTCCATAATAACGACAATATTTTAAAGAGTAAGCCTCTGTCAGCATGTGTATCATCATCATCACGGTAAACGACACTTCGATCTAAATCTAGTATCGCTGGTTTATAATGATTGACCTAATTCCAACCAATGTCACGTGTCATCGGGATATGACTGTTTCTCAGGTTATTCGGTGTGTTTCTCAGGATATTCGGTGTTCTATCTGGGGTTTATATCGAATGACTATTTAAATTTAACTAACAACTCGTCAGTAAAACCATCAAATGTGTAATCCAATTATTATTTTCCGGATTATCAAAACTACCGTTAAATGTGCTAATGACCCAGATTCTGACTAAGGTATGGTGACTATCATCGTATCGTATTCGTAGCCACAAGTTATAATAATTAACCTGTTCTACGATTCATTGTTTTATAAGTAGGATTTTTTTAAACATGGACCGACTGAAGCCGGCAATAATGAGCCGATTAAGATTGAATGATTGAAATACATTGCATTGTTGTCAATGACTTTAGGTGTTGAACACGATTCAAATTCTAGTTCACAAGGGGAGGTAATTAAAATCACGTGATACAAAAATGGAGGTTCTTTCGATATCAATAAAAAAAGACCCGTAAATGAGCGTTTACATCTGAATCAGTTTAATACATTTGAATGGATATTCACGTATGGGGCATGTAGATACATGCGGCATATTTTTTTTATAACTTGCTTATCGATGTTCGGGCGGGCGTTACATATTTTTTTTTTTTCATCAAGACTAATAAATAGGCCGCACGCGCAACCAATTTTGCGTGCGGGCGGTGCCCGAGAAACAACTTATTTTATTTGTGTTGCCTTAAGTTCACACATATACAAAACTTAGCTTTATTGACTCCTGTGAACAGTTTTTGTAAAGACAATGTGAATCCTGATGAATTGATGATCTATGATCTCTCAGCCCATTTATATCAAATGCCTGTGGCTTATATATAATTGATAATGCATCGCTGACAATCAGTTGTGCCATTATGTTTGAATGTAGTCTGTGATTATCATTGTTGGCAGTAGTACCTGAGGCAAATGCCAGAATATGTACCCTGTTGATGCTAAAAGAGTTCTATCCTTATTTACAAGCCTTCATAAAAACATACATACACGTTTGTTCATCCTCGGTATCCCCAGTGGTTTCATTCCGTTCTACTCCACTAACCCCTGGGTTAATCTGTGGGGAAGACACGTTTTCAAGTTATCCGCTCTTGATGATTCTGCTATTTTTATCGACCAATCCCATAAATCGTTAATTGCAAAGGAAGTTGGCAAAGGGAAGTAACTCTCATCGGACAAGGTTAGGAGTTAGCCTAAATGAGAGAAGTCCAAATTATTCTAAATGCGTATTTATTTACAACAAATTATGTAATAATATATGAATGAAGACTGGATGATAATATATATATATATATGTAGGTTCAAGAGTTTTATTGAGAATAGTCTGTTCGTTCCCCGAGTGTTACGTCCATGTGATATCGTAGACAAGTTATTGTTACAGCAAGTTCACACCAATCTGATTAACATCTACTACGTTACCTGGTGCTTTAACGCAGATATAGATGTTATACATATTTGAAATCAGCGAAACATACTACAGATTTTGATAATACAATTAAATATAAATGAATTAGAAATATATACTTTAATTACATAAATCATTACCTAAATGGACATGAATATAGTTATCTATCCTTATAAAAAGGAAGGCGAAATGACTGGTTTGTAAACTGTTTTTTTGATTGGTTCGTAGACTGTAGCTACAATCAAGGTCAGGGCAGATAATCTGAAATCGTGGAAACCTTATAGATTAACGCAAGGTATAGTGGAGTAAAACGGAATGAGAACACTGGGGATACTAAGGAGGAGGATGTTTGTTATAATTCTGTGAAGATGAAGTACATAGGATGTGGGGTGACATGTATTATAAACCTTATTCCACATACTGGTACTGCATTCTATGTTTATTAATACGTGCTGTAATGATGTTTTGTTTTTCAGGGTCATATAAATCATATTCTACACTCATAAAGACTACCATAAATATATAATACCATTGTAGTATAGAAAAGGGCCATGACAGAAGTAAAATCTATATATAAAAAAGATGGTTTGATTTACCCCTGAACATTTAAATCAGAAGTCACAAAATCATGACATGATGTTATAAAGCAACAAAGGATATAATTTATGTAATCATGCAGTGAAAACTATCTTATATTAGTGGTGTAAGTTTTAAGTCTTTCTTACATAGTGTAGTATTCATTTATGTTATTACACTGATGTTTTTATAATAAAGGCAGCCTAGTCGGGTAGCTGAGATTTCTTTAGAACAATCCAAGATATTAAGATATTCAAGCCAAATGCCAAGATGTAAAGAAGTAGTCCAAGTAACATATTGATCTTGTTGGTGAACATTTACCCATTACTAAGTGGAATATTTTACTTTGATAGTAATATTTTGTCTGTTAACTTATTGTGTGAATCTGATAAACACCACTATCAGATATTATCTAAACACAAATGTAGAATGGGGTGGGAAAACTCATTGACATCGCACATGTAAACTGATCATTTGTATTTGAAAAACTAAAATCTGGTAAAATCACAAATGAAAACTGACCATTTGTTTTTGAAAAACTGAAAAGAATTTGTGGTAGAATTAATGGGCAACACAAAAGTTGTCTGTAGATTTGACAGTTGGAATATAAAAAGCTTTAAGTGGTTGAAAACAAAGATTTAAACAAGAACAAATCTAAGCAATTAATGGACCAAAACAAAGATTCATGGTCATAATATATAGGTGAAGAAGCCCAGAGTTATTCAGTTCTTTCACTTAAGTATTTAATAATATTTAACTTAATTTTGTTTCAAAATTATCATTACTGCATATTGATAGGAAACATTACTTGGATGTGTACTGTAAATGAAGCAAAAGTCTCCTAGAAATCACAGCCACCCCTATATTATTATTTGTCATATTGACATTGTGTAATTTTTTTTTATATAGTGTGTATATATATACATCTACATTTAATTAGTATCATACAACTACAAGTGTAGGTTACATTGTAAATATCATTGTAGTTTGTATACTTTTACCTACATTGTAATGTGGTCATACATTAGTACAGGTTTGTCTAGTTAACACCATCCTCGATATCCCTATTGGTCTCATTCTATTCTACTACACTAACCCCTGGGTTAATCTAGGGGCGGGGTGGAGGACACGTTTTCAAGTTATCCGTCATTGATAATTGTGCTATTTTTATCGACCAATCCCATAAATCGTCAATTGCAAAGGAAGTTGACAAAGGGAAGTAACTCTCGGGATAAGGTTAGGAGTTAGCCAGAAGGTAGCCTAAATGAGAGAAGTCCAGATTATTCTAAATGCGTATTTATTTACAACAAATTATGTAATATTATATGAATGAAGACCGGATGATTACATATATGTAGGTTCAAGAGTTTTATTGAGAATAGTTCTTTCATTCCCGGATTGTTACGTCCACGTGATATCGTAGACGTGTTTTTGTTACGGCAAGTTCACACCAATCTGATTAAAATCTACTACTACTACCTGGTGCTTTAACGTCTACTTCCACAGAAGTGATATCGCAGACATAGATGTTATACATAATTGAAATCCGCGAAACATACTACAGATTTTGATAATACAATTAAATATAAATGAATTAGAAATATATACATTATTTACATAAATCATTCACTAAATGGACATGAATATGGTTCTCTACCCTTATAAAAAACGAACGCGAAACGACTGGTTTGTAAACTGTTTTTTGATTGGTTCGTAGACTTTGGCAGATAATCTGAAATCGTGGAAACCTTATAGATTAACTCAGGGTATAGTGGAGCAGAACGGAATGAAACCACTGGGGATACCGAGGATGGTTAACACCAGCAACTGCAATTATGGGCTATAACTTCCTAATGCAAAACCATGTTAAACCCACGGCCACAATATTCTGAAATTTGAATGAGATTTATCAGTTGTTTGCTGAGTTCTTGCAATTGACTGAGTCTATGCGATTTTAATGAAACATGTTAAATTGGCAACATGTCGATTTGATATATTTCCACGAGATCTCCATTTACTATGAATGTGAACATGACTTGTCAAGTATTCACATAGTTATTGCCCTTATGATAGATCATGTTATTACATTCATTCTACAAATATATCCAAGCAGTTGTTTTTACTGTGAAAAGCCAACATCCCATTTCCGAAAATTAAAAGTTTTTGATCATATTGATCTTTATTTTTATTTTATTTTTTTCGAGAAAATTGTTGGCAACATTATAGCTAATTCGGGATCTCTTTTTTGTTAAGTTTTTTTTTTAAAACTGGTTATTATTTTTTGTTGAATTAATTTTGCATTTAGATATTTATCTATTTTGACTACGTTATTACAGTTACAGTGTCATATTCTCTATTTCCATACGTATATATAGAGATATGATTATTTTGGAAAGACACGGCCTCTGTGATTTGATTGAAAAAATGAAAGTGTGGTTTGACTGAATTTGAAGGTTTTGGTCAACCACCTTTTCGCCCTAATCAGAGAGGCCTTGTTCTGTTAAATTATATTTTATAGATCTGTCCATATTGTGATTATTTATTAGTCCTGTTGGGGCAGAAAAGAAGATTGATGAACCTCATTTCATTCATTCAATTTTGATTTTCACTGAACTACTACATGTACAAAATATGAGGGCCACTTACATGTTCAATTTGAATTTCTATCCTATTATTATATAATGAAAAAGAAATAACTATCAATAGTGTTTAAAAGGAATGGTATGTTGTTAATTCCGGCAAATATAACCTTTTAGCTCGTGGACAGTAGTTGCTTTCTATCTGTACATTTTTTAGATTATCTGTGTAATCATTCAATTGTGATAAAGATTCCATTTAAAATATCTGAATGTCTAATATTATTTATTTAATTTTGTGACACATCCCAGATAAAAACGAAAGACAATTTAAGTTGATAAATAGCCTCCAGACATTGATTCGTTCAGAATAAAAAGGGGCTTATCAAAAGATTTCAGCAAAGATTATTGTTGGCGCTGGCTTGTTTTGGCCATGTCCCTTCCGTGGAGATTCCCAAATGTTGACAAATTTTCAGTTCATCATATCTTTGTAAGTACTGACCAGAATTGAACCAATTTTGGACTGATATTCCTTTCAGAGATTTAACATCTACTATATTGTAGCTTGATAGGGATTAACATCCATCAAAAAACGCGAACAGGCTGTATTAAAATACATGTATATATAAGTGAACAAACTAGAAGAATCTTTTGTCAGTAATGTGGTTTTATTGAACAAATAATAATATCAATACAATTATGTTGAACTTGTATAACGAGGCCATGTTTTTATAACATTATACAGAGCTTGGCCAGGACATGCGGTATTGGCTCCCTGGGCATCTCTATGTCCACTTAATGAATAAGAAGAGGATATTTTGTTATTACTAACACCATAGGCAATAAGATCCTGGGCTGCTGTTAAAGCTGCTCCATTGGGTTGGCGGTTAGAAAAGTTACCAAGGAAAGCAATAGCAATAGATCTAGTATTGTACCCTCGAGTATGAGCTCCTTGTTTATTCCACCCGCGGCCTTCATAGACACGCCCATCTTCTCCCACCAGAAAACTGTAACCAATATCAGAATATTTTCCTGAAATTATATGATTAACAAAATATATAATGAATTATTCAAATGGACCTGCATAACACATTAGCTGATACATGTACATGTGTTAAACTTGCAGTTTTTGTAACATACGACACTTGTTACACAGCCACATTTAATGTGGACATTTATTATCATTACACCTTTCCACCGGAGATAGACTATTTTAATGAACTTTTAATGTGGCTTTTAATCCGTAATATCTCGACTAATGCATGTGTTAAAATATGTCAAAAATATCAAGAGAAAGCAATTTTGTATCTGATGAAACTTGGGTTCTGGCCTTATATAAACAGAGTCTCGAATTGGATCTCAACTGGGTTGAGGTCGAATTCCAACGACATATTTGTCAATTGATCCACATGAGTCTGACCTTCTATCCGTATATATATATGCATACACCATGTCCAACCAGACAATATACAATAAAAAAAATTATATATTGTCTGGTTGGACATGGTGTATGCATATATATACGGATAGAAGGTCAGACTCCTGTGATTGATCAAATAATGGGCGTGCCAAATATGTTTTGTGACTTATGTAGTTTTCATCCGATGAAGCTTTTTGTGTGACCATATTATATCCACCGGGTCTCGACTGTGTTCGATTTGAATGAGATCGGTAAATTATTCGCCGAGTACTATTAATGTATAAAGCAATGAGTTTCAAGGTGGGAATCTGCATGAACATTCCCACAACCCCGGAAAATTTACAAGAACAGAGTCTTATTATTTTGACCTATTACCCTGCAAGGCATAGAGCAGGGAATATAGTGTCCATCTACATCAGTGCTTCTCAACCGGGGTCCATGTGCACCCCCAGGGGTGAATTCGATCGCTTAGTAATTTAATGTGTAAATCCATGGCATCTGTTCATTAAACATGTGTTTGAAACGATACCTAATTAGCATGTTTCAGCTTTTAGTAATTTGATGTTTTATAGTGGCAGGGGTGAATAGTGGAGAAAATATTTCTCCAGTGGGGAATTGTATCATAAAGGTTGAGAAGCACTGATCTACATATTTTTGTCCACATTGGTTTTAGTGAGTGTATAGAAATATCCTTGTTTATTACGATATATATTATAACTATACAATACTTACTTGTATTTATATGATAATTTTGAGTATTTCTAACAACTCGACTACAGGAAGACTGAGAAGTACAGGAACTACCAACTGTATGATGTATAAATACTCGACTTACAGGTAATCTGATATTACTTAGACGTGTTGATCTAGCTCCCCAACTTGCTCGAGATACAATCGTTGGGTTATTTCCTAATAAAATACAAAGTTAGACATTATAATGATGACTACATAAACTATGCTATTGAGCAATAGCAAAGCACGACTTGAAACCAGTAACTTCAGCGTTTTGAGTTTATACTTGGGAATCATAATGGTAAAAGAAGCTATTCCTTGGCACCTAGCACACATGAATTGCAATGCATATTATAATGTAATATGAATTTATGTAAACTGATTTACATACAATCGTTTTTGTTTTTACTGTAATTTCTAAGCAGTTATATTAGACGAAATATGCAAGAGTCCTAATTGAGTAGAAGTCTTTGGCGTCTGGTTATTCCTGTCTACACCGGTAGTGTTCTCCTGTGGGATATGCTTAGCCTCGTTCATTTAGTCAGTTCATTACAAATGGCGCACAAAAGCATTCTGGCACGCGATTCGTGTGCCAATTTTAAATTTTCATTTGTCTTAAATATTGGATTTCAGAAGTCCATCTTTTCACAGTAAGATAACAACATAAATGTTGATTTAAATTGAGCAACAAGTCGTGTTTGCAATGTCGAAGACCGTAGATGATATTGAGTTAGTTAGAGATTTGCCTCCTTTAACCATGAACGACTTCCTATTAAGACTCAACAATCCTTGGAAGATAAGGCCCACTTTTGGGCAAATTAAGCAGTAATTGTATTCCATAGAGTTGTGACCTGTGCATTTACAGTTCAGTTACTAAATGTCATTGAAACAATATAAAAATTAAAACAGTACATGTAGTTGAAAAGGTCTCTCGCAGAGTGTTTCATGAGGGCAATTTAAAAAAAAATGTGCACCAACATAAGTCAATAATCGGCTGTTATAAAACCGGGTTTCCATATGAAAACTGGAAACCAAATAGAAAATTGTTACAGATTGTAGAAATTTCCCCAAAATCCGGGCTATCACATATTCATCAGAGGGATTTAACGGTTTGGAATTCTCCGTCATCCTAATAATTCACGGGAAGAAAATGATCTCAAGTGTTGTTAGAATGCCTATAATATATATTTACCACTAGAAGTAACCGTCACCAAACAACATTGTCTGTTATAAGCACCTCCACATAAATTTCTTCTATAATTTCCTCTGGAACATGACTCTGATGTTAGTTGACATTTACCACCCAGTGATGTACATCTAGAATCACCTGCACCTAAAATATATGTTTAAAATGCAATATCGAATTTTCTTTACCTATATAAAGAAATTATACACTCTGCATTGAGTACGATGTGATATTTAAGTACCCAGTTACTCAGTAATACCTATAGTGTTTAGATTCATGCTGATTAAATAATATACAATGCATTCCCATTTAAGAAATCCATGTAGTATAATTTGTCTAAATTCTGCCTTTTCGCTAGTTGACTGGTGTACTTGATTGTCTATTGCGTATTGATTTTAGTTTTATATTTTAAAGAAACCGTAACAGAATCTCGACACTAATTTTAAATAGATAATCTAAATAGCAACGCTCGTGTAAGCGATTTTTTTTTTGGTGTTTTATTCAATAAATTAAAACATACCGGTTATTGTTTGAAACTGTAGAACACATATAGTAAGAAAAAGCAACACCATATTACAAGTAAACATTTTTAACGTAAAGTCCATAATTCCTGGTGGTGGTTCTAAACGTCTCTTACCAATAGCGGTCTATTTTATATTTACTACAGTCTACAGATCCTGGTTTTGTTTAGCCAATCAGAATAAAATCTGTATCTCAATTAGTAGGGTTTGTTCAGGATGTTTGTTTAATTAAAGTCTTACTTACATAACTAAATGCGAAGATACTTAACTAAATATACGTCACAGGATAGTCGCATTTTATGACATAGCCAAATTCAATACATATTTTCATGTCTCGTTTGATTTACTATTTTATCCTAACGAAAACACCATCAGTCTCCTCAAATGCCAAATCAAATCATTTATGAATAGATTAATTCAAGCACAAAAAGACAGCAGAACAGAACTCCCGAAAGACCAAAATTATTAACAAACACATTGAGACATAATTATTTGAAATCATTCGTGATAAGGTCATTGAAATTATACAAAGAAACCCCTACCACCGAAGAAATTGGTCACGCCGTAGAGTTCTTGTACATCCTACTGAAAAATACGGTGGTACTAATATCTCAGATTAACTCAAGTTATTAAGGGCATCTCTACCCAATCGCCATAATATAAGATCCAATCTCACGAAACATGGCTCAATCAATTTAGCCTCCACTATTGACATTGTTAAATGTATCATTAAAGACTTAAAAGATCAGTTCTTTGGAATAACCTTCCAGTTTATACAAAAACAGTCCTTCCTTAGATTTATTCAAAAAAAATATCCCTTTGTATCTGTGTATGCAATTCCCGATCTATATATCATATAAGAGCCGCACTATGTCTTCGGGTGTTATGGAAAACCGATGCACCTTGTACAAGTTGACGTGCATAAAAGAACCCTTGACAGTTGAAATTCAATCAAGATTAGACAGAAATGTCTCTGTCCGGGAAAATTTCCGGTACTGCATATTGATAGGAAACATTACTTGGATATGTACTGTAAATGAAGCAAAAGTCTCCTAGAAATCACAGCCACCCAGTATTATTATTTGTCATATTGACATTGTGTAATTTATTTTATATAATGTGTATAATATACATCTACATTTCATTAGTATTATACAACTACAACTGTAGGTTACATTGTATCATTGTAGTTTGTATCCTTTTACCTACATTGCAATGTGGTCATATACTATTACAGGTTTGTCTTGTTAACACTAGTAACTTCCTAAGTGCAAAACCATGCTAAACACCCGTGACCACAATATTCTGAAAATTGAATGAGGTTTATCAGTTGTTTGCTGAGTTCTTGCAGTTGACCGAGTCCATGTGATTTTAATGAAACATGTTAATTTGGCAACAAATCGATTTGATATATTTCCACGAGATCTCCATTTACTATGAATGTGATCATGACTTGTCAAATATTCTCATAGTTATTGCCCTTGACTTTGAGTAAATGAATTAGGAAAGCTCATGCTACTACATTCATTCTACAAATATATCCAAGCAGTTGTTTTTACGGTGAAAAGCTAACATCCCATTTCCGAAAATTATAAGTTGTTGATCATATTGATCTTTATTTTTATTTATTTTTTGGGACAAAAATGTTGGCAACATTATAGCCAATTTCCCTCGTGCACACTGCATGACGCATTCCCGGTTGGTGTAGAAAAGCAGGAGCTAAACCCCACTTCTTTTCATTTTGAAAATGGTCCGTATTTGTTCACGGTCTTTGATTATACTGCTCCTTAAACATGTATCTTTCTTTATGCCTGAAATGTTATCTAAATTATTAATTAGTATTAGACATAATTAACTTATCCAGTCCATAATCAACTCGTGGTGCCATCTTTAGCCTGCGATCAATACATTTTGTGATGGATAATTTAACGTAAAAATAGATAATTTAGACTTTGTTAATTATAGAACCAGCGTTACTGTCAGCTCTTTATCTAAATTTACCTAATGCCCTTTTAATCGGCTAACTCCCTATTTCATACTGGGTAACATTTGAGAATGTTAAAATTATTTTAACTTTGGTGTAACATTCAGTGTAAATGAATTTTGGTCCCAACCTATTGGAACAATATCTAGACATTTTGTGTTATTTTTATGTTTAAAAGTGAATTCTGTTTCATAAATCATGTACTATAAGTTGTGTATGGAGAAGATTAATATATGCATAGTATGTTATCCAATTCTTTTTTTATTTATAAAACATTATATAAAATAAAGTACGTCCAGAAAAAAAATTAAAGGACCTAAGTCCGTAACTCAAAATCCTCCAAAATCTTCGACATCGAAAACACGAATTATTGGTCAATTTAAATCAACATTGATGATGTAAACCGGGAAAAGATGAGCTTCTGATATCCGATATTTAAGATAAAATAATTTTTTTAACATTGGTACACGACTCGTGTACCATAATGCGCTTCAGCCCCAGTTGTATTGAGAGACTCGAGGGACGAGGCTAGACACATTGCACCAAATCAAATGGAGTTATGTAGACTAGAATAACTAGACGCTAGAAATTTGCACTCGATTGAGATTGCTGACTTATTTCGCCGAACATAACTGATTTGAAATTGGAGTAAAAACGGAAACCATTAAATGTAAATCAGTTTATATACATTCATATTACAGTATTATATGCGTTGCGACCCACTTTTGTGAATTTCTAGGTCCCAAATGTTAGCGATTTAGCTCCTTTAATTGCCGCATACAACAGACTTAATTGATCAACAAGCATTTGAATATTGTTAAAGTTGGCGTGCACTTATCGTTGTTCAGACATATCAGTTTGATCCGATATAATAATATACTAAACAGCAAATGAAACGTCAGTACGATTTCAAAATCAAAGAGGCACTTTAATCAAATCATTCTAGAAAACGACTTACTAAATGGATCAAAGCAATTTTTTGTCATCAGTATGTTGCCACATCAGTGATTAATTCATCACAATTCCAAGACATTACGAGAAGGTACACAGTCTATACATCAGTATCTGGTGTGTCCACCGCGAGTGTCAATAACAGCAGCGCAGCGTCTTTACATGGAGTGGAATAGACAATTGATGAACTACACTCTCAGAAAAGCCTGGCGCAATCCATTGGCTGTGTTTGGTCTCGTTACGACGTTATTAAGTCTCCTCTGAATTTCATCCCAATTTCATTAGACCAGTGCATACTGTTGACACCGTTCTGCTGTAGAATGCCCCGGGTAACTCTGGCGGTGTGAGCACGGGCGTTGTCATGCTGGAAAACGTTGTTTCGATGACGTGCGAAATGTGGTATGACGTGGAGTCTGAAAGCTTGATCGATGTAGCGCTCTGCTGTGATGCCGCCTCCTCTCCCTGGACCAAGATTTTGGAACACCACAGGACCCACTCTCTGGTTCAGGCAGATTCCACCCCAAACCATTATGCTTGGACCCCCCACCCCATATGAGTCTCGTTCCATGACACATTGGTATGATTGGTTCGACGCCATATTCTGGTCCTGCCATCTGCAGTTGATACGCAATACTGACTCTCATCTGTGAACAGAACAGTTCTCCATTGCCTGTGTCGCGAGTTCTGGCGTTGTTGGGCAAACTGTAGTCGTTCACGTCGATGGCGAGGGGTGAGGATCGGTCCACGGTAAGGTCTACAGCAATGGATGTTCTCTCTGGTGAGACGTCGGCGCACTGTATCGGTACTGATGGGTCTTCCGTGTGTTCCCATTGTCTGACGAGCTGTCTCAGATGCCTGTGTGAAGGGATTCTGCACGCGCTGTACCACAACATGGCGATCTTGTCGCCTTGTGGTAACCCTGGGTCTACCAGTTCGGGGGCGATCATCGGTGGTGTTGATGGCCCGAAAGCGTTGCTGAAGCCTGTAGATGGTCCGAAAATTGACCTAGAATTGATTGGCAACGTCTGTCGAGTCTTCCAAGCGCCTGGTTCCTCTGAGCTGTCGTGAGTCGAGGCATGCTGCTGACGTTGTAATCATGGAGAACACATTACCATCTCAGAAGTCAGGTTGCGTTTTTGAGAACATTTCCTGGGTTCAATTCTGTGTTTGGGAAGGAGCCTTTATTGCTCAGGTAAAGTTGGAGATGTGGTCACAAATATACAGTAAAAACATTTGTTAATTTTTATGCAATGCGTCTATTTAGGGTAACATACCAAACTGACGTTTCATTTGCTGCTTAGTATAGTATTAGTATTAATTAAGAACCACGTACCCATGTGGCCGTTAGGCATTACAAAGTTCAGGGATGTTAGACATTTTCTATTTATTTTCCTAGAAGATTCATAGTTTATCATCTTGTACAATGTGACATCTGACACCTGCTATATTTCTTTGTTGATGTACAGTCCACAAAAATTTATAAAAACATTTTTCCCCTAACACATTAATACTTAATACTTTACCCATACAATTACACAATAATAGGATACCCTGATATACTTGTTGGTTTGATACAGCATTGTCGATTGTTAGAACCTGAACACAGGTATCTGCGGAAGTTTCCACCTGAACATGCAATATATGTATATTGACATCTTCCTCGACTTGATGTACACTTAGAATCACCTGCACCTAGTGACGAAAATGACATTTTTTCTGTATATGATACATGATTCAATCAACTGAAGTATTACACCGTCTATAAACAGCCACCAGTGTCCTGACGGACAAGACCAGAATAAGCCACCTTTTCACTGTTCATGCATGGGTCCCAGTGACATTTTCAGCCAGGGGCCCCCATGCAAGCTTCATCCTGTACTGGCCCTTATGAATATCGAAAGCCATTGACCTAAACAATTACAATATGTCGACCCTGGTACACTAAGCAGAACTTGTATTAAAAGAACTGGATGGAAAATAGCATGGCATTACACCAGCAAGTATTTTTAAATAGGTAATAAAATGTAAATTTGACTGGTATTTTATGAATTTAGAACGGACATGCTTTTTTCCGTTTTAGTATCATGTGCCTAAAAATGCTTTATTTTCACACATTTTATGTTAGTAGTGTACTTCTTAATTATAAATTAAAGTTAGAATTTGATATTAATTTCATGCAAATCATAAAAGTCCCCCATTGTCAAATTTTAACATCAATAC